GAGCCTCATCTTGAAGGCCTTCTCTTGAGCCAGACTGGCTTTGTTCACATATCTTACTTTTCTGACTGTGGGCATTGCTTTAAAATATTGTCTTTGCATGGCTTTCTGATCACTGTTTGTGTATTCCTGGAATTCTGAAATTAGACTAGTAACTTGAAAAGATCACCCTACATCATGACTACTGATGTAGAGATTTTGATGGAGCGCTCGGTCTGTCCTGTGTCTTCTCAAGCTTTGTTTTGGACTGAGATATGTGGGGCCTCTTTCCGTTTTTTTCTCCTTAGCTACCTGTACTGAAGTACATCAGTGTTTTTCTAACCTGTATGTTCATTAAACTACTAGCTAAAATAACAGAATCTAATGTCTCCCTGCTTCACCTTTTCAGACAGTGATGTTTTTCAGAACAGTTAGTCATTGGGTTACCTCAGTGATAGCTTCATCTTTGTCTTCCTGAAACATGATCTGATCACAACAAGATTGTAGGATTTTTCTGCTGCCTTTCTCCCAGGTTGCAACATCCTCTTTGATGGCAAATTCTATGATTATCCTGATCTCATTCACATCTTTGCTGCTTACGCACAGCTTGATTATGTGTGCATATATGTACACAAGCATACGTGCATATGTATGTATATGTATTATATACACATGATACTGCACATATTCTTATTTGGTGTCTTACTTCAGTCATATTCCCCCCACATTTCACATTGCAGGAGACATTGTGTCTTTAAAGAAATTCTTTGATACCTGATTTTCAACATCCAATTAACTTTTGTGCTTTTTTTTAAATGTCTTTTTTGCTTCAGACTGTGTCAGGGTAATCAGTGTTCTGTGGCTTCTGTTATGAGGTTGTTTTCGCCCTTCTGTGCGTTCTCTGTAATTTCTTGTGTCTGTAATATTGGTCTGACATGCCTCATATTTTACTTCTTTTGTGCACTTACTTAAAAACATGCACATAAGCACTCAACTGCCCAACAGGAGTGATGCCCTCCAGTAAGTACATCAATTACAGTGAAAGTATAGTGAAAGTATAACCACTGGTTTTGTGCTGTGCTGGTAACTGTAAGGAATTATATTAACGTATGCAGGAGAAATCTATATTCAGATTTCTCCCACAGCTTAGTCCTGCAAAGGTGTTCTTTGGAAATGCGAGGGAGAGAAGAAGCTGGGAGAGGCATCTGAATGTGCTTTGAAGTGGTTGGATAGAAGGAATGTCAAGAAAATGGTCTTTTCTGTTTTGCATTTGCATATGAACACTTGCTTACTTGCAACAGTGTAGCTCTGAATTTGACTGAAGAAGTTTAAATTCTTCTCACTTCTCTCCAGTGAAAGTAAGCCCACCTTTATACACCGAGCTTTCTAGGTTTGGAATGAAGATGTTGTTGTAAAATCGTGCTAAACCCAGCAGTTCTTGTGGGAGGGAACGTATTGTTTTAGTGTAAGTAGTAGGATGTTATGCCAGAAGGACATACCTCGGAACCTTTGAGATGAGATTTTGTCAGTGGTTAAAGAATGGAGCATGTGCATTCTTGAGAGATAAATGGAGAGTCTGGCTGGCCTGTTAATTTTTGTGCTCACCTCCCTTGGGGAGGTCGCTGGGCGGAGAGTGAGCTACCAAATTAAAGGCTGGGAGACTTACATCAGCACCCAGAACTGCACAAGAGGAAACAAAGTTGTTAGGCAGATATGTGAAGGGGAGATACTAGCTTGGTATCTTTTGGATTCTGTTTGCTTGGAGAAACAGGGGACTACCTAGAGGATGTGAAGAATGTGAACCTGGCAGCAGCAATGGGACTCAGCATTGGGAACTAGGAGGTACAAGAGCTCATTTTTCTTACAGCAGGTACTCCTGCTTGCAGAACACATGCTGTTGCAAAAGTGAAATATAATACTGTTCACTGAAATCCTTGCCTGGGCCTAAGTCATTGGCTTGTGTTTCTCATATTCTCATTTGTTTTTGGGAACTATTGAGCTTGCTAGCCATTCTTGAAATTGTTCTTGCACAGGCTTCTCAGTGCTCATTTGGATTCTTAAGCAAATAACTCTTAAACCATTGAGATTGGGAGTGAAATCAGCTGTGGAGGGCAGGAAAGCTTTCCCAACCTGCTAGTTAACTTGTGGAGCTTTTTATTGCTTGTGGTCCATTTTGTCTGACAGTATTTGTGGTTCTCTGCACTGTTGCAGTGGTGTGCAGTCCTGTGCTTTCTTAGTCATAGGGGCTCCACAGGTAGCATAGCATAAATAATGAAAGCTTTATTTAAAGAGCGAAAATATGTATTTTTAAATTGTTTCCCCTCTTTTATTTAAACTTCCTGCCTTGCCAAATGTTGAAGGATTTTAATCTGTCTTGAGGAAAGCTGCAAATTATTAGAACTGCTGATTTATGGAAACAAAGCATCGTTTCTAGACTGCAGGACAATGAACACTTGTTAAAGCTTATGTTTAGCACAGACTCATAATTTCTGTTGCTGAAGAATGGAAACTGGTATCTGAATAGAAGTATAAGTGTGTAGTGTGCACAGGGAGTAGCCAGTACAGAGCCATAGACACACCAGGGTCCAAGATGATGATTAAGGGTTGTGAAACTAAGGAAGAAGTTCAAGTGGAAATGCGGAGTACAAGGAAGCAAATGAGAAGAAAACAGCAGACAGGTATTGGCTTGGGTTGTAGCAAGCCCTGAATTAGAGCTGGGGAGAGCCTACCAGAGACATTATCCTAAAGATGCGTAGTTTCTTACTGTACTAGTTTGCTGAGTGGTTAAAGTGCCAGTTGATAAGTAGTATCTTTTTAATTGCTTCCAGAGGCACTTTTTATTTAAAATAACTTCCCTAATGCTTTCTTTGTTTTTCTTTTTCTGCTTTTCCCCTACAAAAGCTAGTGTTTTTGAGCCAAGTTAAGACTTCTGAAGACTGAATTCTTCTTGGTAACTTTCTACATACCTGTTATGCCATGGCTTTTCAAGTTGTCTTTTTGAAACACAAATTGCAGTCCACTTTTGGAGGTAAAATGGGTTACTTATTGTAACTGTGACTTGTCAGGCAAGCTGAATGTCCTTCAGAGGACGTCCAGAGGCTTTTAAAAATCCTATTAGAAGATGTTGTTTGCAGATGGTACAGAGGATAAAAAAAAAAAAAATCAAAAAACCCACACCACCCTATCCATCTAACTGCTGCCTCTTTTCTCAAGGGCAGATTACACTTAAGGTGCAGCTATGGCTGAAATTTTTCTCTGTTGTGTATAAATAAAAGTAAGACTCTCAAATATCAAGGGTTCTTGGAAATGAATTTAGGAATACGAAGCACAAAGCTTTACATATTTTGTGCGATTCATTTATGTTAATTAAAACAATATAAATGTCACAATCTTACTGCAAATGTTAAGTCTGAATAGTGTGTTGGTTCTAAGCGTGAGCTTGCCAGGATCAGAAGGCAGTTTTGTTGAATGAGTGTAGTAGGATGAATGATGTGACCTTTTAGTGCCTCTTACAAGAGATTGCTGAGTAAAGTAGCAAGATTTTTGACTGATGGTGAATGTGTAGAGCACAGATGAGAAATACAAACACGTGTATCTGCAGTTTCTTTAATATGTGGCAAAAAAAGGGTGGAATTTCCTAGTGAAAAGCTGAGCTATTCAGAAGGATCCTTTTTGATACACACTGCATGCAGGATTTACTTTACTTTGTATCGTTATTGTTTTCAGATGGCATTATCTGTGTAGGATATCCACCTAGATATGTGAATAACAAAGCATGGCTTGCTAACAGCGCAAAGGCTACATGCTTTTTATTTATTTATTTATTTATTTTAATATAAGAATCTGGGAGTAGAATGGTTGGTTGAAATGTCAACAGTGTTTGTTTTTATTCAATATTGACATTTTCTACCCTGTCAACTAAGTCTTGAAGATGCTTTGGAGTCGTGAGTGGAAAAAGAAATCTAAAACTTGGGTAGGCAATCCCCTTTGATTCTGTTTTTGAAGAGAGCTGTTCTTTATGCTCATATTTCAATCTCCTTCTCCGAATATAAGGTTGGTGTGAGTGGTCTCTTGGATCTTGAGAGAAATGTGAGCAGTACTTATTTTGGAATTAATTGTAAAGATTGCACACTACCTGAAACTATCTGTTTTTAAAAGTAGCTATAATTAATATTGTCATGATAATAATAATAACATTCTAGTATGGTGATTTTATTTTATTTTATTTTTTTCTGCTACAGCTAGCGTTAATTCTTTACATGAAAATTGTTGCTTTCTTGAACTGTTTGATTGGACAGCAAAAGACCTAAGTATTTTAGTGGTGTATGCATACCTGAGAAATTTTGCTTCATGAGCAGCAAATAACTTGAATTGCTTAAGACTGCCTGTTTATTATTTGAAGCATAGTAAATAGCATTCAGCTTTATTGTTTTGACCTTGTAGTACACAACTTTCCTTTCTGGCTCTTGGGCAAAACTGACTAGAGTTCTTTCCTGAAATGTTGTGTTCAACTGCTTCTTTGCAGGTAGACAAGTGTTTCTTTAACACCAGTTTATTGTATCTGTTGTACATGTACTGTACTTGTTAAACCTGCCTGTAGTGTTTTAAAGAGTTTTTGAAAAGTGTAATACCAAATAATGCAAAGCAGATGTGGAAGTCTACAGTAGAAGACATTGATTTGATGCTGTTATCTTCTTTCTAGATAATTAAAAAAAAAAAATAGAAAAAAAGAAACCTGTTTATTGGATGAGTACCTGTAAATTCCTGCATAAATCAGTTTTTTTCTAGGTAAATTATTCTTTGTTGACTTAGTTGCCAGATAGTTGGAGATATATATATATATATTTTTTAATTGCCTTTCACAAGTCTTACTCTCCAGTTTTTTGGCCATTGGTATTTAAGATTTGATAGATAACTCCTACTGTATGTTAATGTCCCATAGTATCATTTTCTGCCTTTGTATCTATTAGGAGCAGAAAACTTAAACAAATGTTGTTAACCCCATCTCTCTTTTCTCATATAAGAGCTCCAAACGAGAATGGAAACCTTTGGAGGACCACAGCTGTACAGATGTACCATGGCTGCTCTTGTTCATCCTCTTCTGCGTAGGGATGGTGAGTAAAACTTAAAGGGTTTTACGACTGTTACATAGTTGAAGAGTTTGCATTATTTGAGGAAAGTTCTAGACTCAGTGACTTAATGAGTAAGGTCAGAATATACTGATATTTGAATTATCAGCTATAGAACAGAGTTGAGTACTGTACACTGTCGGAAGACCTTTGATAGGATTCAGAATTAATTTTTTTTGTGCCAGCTTCTGCTCCAGCTTACTTCCTAAAACTCCAGTTCTTATACTGCTGTGACTTCTTGGTATCTTGTGTTGTTTCATGAACCTGTGTATTCTTTTTTTTTTTTTTTCCTAGACACAGGATATCTGTCAACATTCTGTATAGCTGTGCTGTGTGCCATAACCCTGAGGAGTATGGATTTTCTAAAAGCTGTCAGCTTTCTGCAGTTCCTTAATCTCTGGTCTTTGGAATTCTTAATCCACCAAAAGAATTCCTTTTGTTTTCCCTTAGTGCTAGTCATTGAGTGCACTTGAAATGTAAAGATGACAGTATTTTCATTAAATATTATAAGGTACATATATCTTAAAATAAGATATGGATATCTTAAAAGCTTTGAAAGCATTCTATTTCATGAGACAAACGGCTTTAGTTGTGGTTGTTTTTCTCCTACCTGTGGTGTTGATGATCTGTGGTTACTCATTCTGTACCCACCTGCTCCAACAATCATGAATTAATTTGCTATAGGTTAGAGTCTGAGATTGTCTTGTCTGAGGAATACAATACACAGAGCAATTACCCTGTTGTTCACATATCCTTTTAGTTGGTGTTCTATGGGAGAGTTCAACTGAGCAGTCAAGTACCAAGATGGGCTGAAATGTCGTTCTTGCATTGTCTTCATTTAGATCAAATGGGGAGGAATTACATGATTTCTTTTAATTGTGTTTAGGGAAAAATTTTTGAACCATCCAAGAAGCTGAGTACTATGGGATGTAAGATGCATGATCTTAAGGCATTCATGTAATGTAAAGAGATCCTGTAAACTGAGTCAGTGCTGGAAATCAGCTTTAATTTTTACTTGTGATAATGGTCCTTTCTCGACTTTGACCTTGTTCTCACTTTGAGTATTAAATCTGTAAGTGCATTAGTGCATTGGAAAGAGGAGGACAATGAACAGCTTGCTGTCTGAAGTTTCTCTACAGTAATAGCCTGTCCATTATAGAGGACCCCTGTCTTGCATCTTCAGACCTTTAAACCCACTCGCATTTTAAGTATTCAGAGCCGACTTTGTTACCTGTCGTCGTCATCTCATCTGATCCTGCTGCTCCATGCATTTGTGTCAACTGATTTCTCATGTCATAGTTTGCCCCATCATTAATGATAGTGGGGCAAGCATATGGTTTGCTTCTCCCTGCCAAAGGCATAGCTAGAAAGCTGGTGACGTTTTTCAAAACAGTATCATGTTCACATCATTGCTGGCTTGATGCTAGTTTTGCTAGTGTGAGAGCTCTGAAACTGCACAGCAAGGTCTGCCTGACATTGAGTGTTTGCCATTTTGCCCTGTGAGTCATTTTGCATTCTCTTGCACTGTATCTCTTTTTTTTTTTTTATTTTTCTAGATTTGCACTTAATGTGTGGAGCAGTTGTGGCTTTCACCTGGCCACTTCTTTTGCTTTAGAGCAAAAATATTTCTTTGAAATGAACTTAGGTCATATAGGCCTCTTCACTTCAGCTTATCATTGAAAGCACTTAATTTGAAGGAAGAACAAACCATAATGCAAGAAAAGCAAGACTGTCTGAAGTCCTGTAAAATGCACTCGCAGTAGTGGTAGCTCTCTTTTGTAGCTCTCTTTCACTGTGTGCCTTTGTTCTCTCTTCTGCTTCATGCACCACTTGATGAGGATATTATGACTCTCAAAAAGGAACACCTATGAGATTCTTAATTCTGCTTGGATTAATGTGCAGTGCAAGATATGAGCCCTCTTTTGGCCTTGCATTTTGTTTTATAATTGCACAGCAGTTCACTGTGGATTGTCCTTGTCTTTCCTTCTTTGACCTGAAAGAATTTTTAAAGAAACTTTGCTTAGAAACAAATGAATTAAACTAAATTTTCCCAGCTGTCCAACAGAATATTACCATTGTGGATTTTTTTTTTTTTCCCCACAGGGCTTTATCTGTGGCTTTACAATAGCTACAGGAGCAGCTGCAAGACTGCTTTCAGGATATGACAGTTATGGAAATATCTGCGGACAGAAAAATGTCAAGGTGGAGGGAATAGCCAACAGTGGTCTGGACCTCACACAGAAGAAGTGAGTATGTGATTCAATTGTTCTATTCTGTAAACCAAAAAAACCAACATTTCATCCTTTCATCCTTTGAAAGTGATTTTCAATGGAATTGGAAAATGAATATTCTAATTCTTTTCTTCTGATCGCTCTCCAATCTTCACATCTGTGGAACCACAACCTTCCATAACACAGAAGTACTTTAAAAAGTGTGTGTTGACGAAAGTGTAACAAGAATGCAGTTAAGTCATTGAGAAATTTCTTATTCTTGGCATCCACATGGGATGTGGGGGTATCTATCAGATCAGAGGGTCATCTTTGTTTTGGTTTTAGGTATGACAGATGCTCAGAAATTTGAGGTTAGGCCTTTGTTATCTGTGCAGAAGTGATAGGGCTTTTGTGATTGGTTTCTGCCTTTGAGTTTAGGGGAACTGGAAAATGTCCAACACATTAAAATAGGACTTCAAAACTTTAAACTTTAGATGGTATGCAGCATATATAAAAGGGGCATGTGGAGAAAATATGCAAGAAGAGTGCAGAATTCTTATTGAGCAGTGTCATGAGGAAAATACACAGAGATCAGAATAAGCAAAGTTGGGTTCTATCTATCATGAGGAAAATAATAATACTTCAGTATTAGTTCAGGAGCTAATTAATGGTATTTCTGGGATGAAGACTTGGAAACCTGTTGAGTGAATGTCTGTTGAGATCTTCCCTCCTGTCAGTGTTCAGGATGCATATGTACAGTTTGGGTAATTTCAGATAGTAAGCTATTTAGCCTAGCACTGGAACTCAGGTATTAACTGACCAAAAACAAAGTCTCTTTCAAAATTTGATCATGTTGGAAGAGTTAAAAAAATCTTCGATTTCTGACAGTGATGTGATTTTACTTCATGCTTTTACTTTCAAACTAATGGAAAGTCATTAATTTGTGGGTGTTATTTTAGGAGGATGCTTTTCTAGTGTATGTTGTCGTTGTAATAAAGATTTCCAAACATCTGATTTAAAATTTAATGTTGCCAGGTATCTGTTGTGTCATTAGAAGAAATTAAATAAATAGTCTGAAAACTTCTACAGATTTTTTTGTCAGGAGATCTTTTTCTTAAACTGATAGGAACTTCTAGGAGAGTTGAAAAGCTTAAAACTTACCCAGCATAATTTTCCTATTTACTATGTCCTATTTACTAAGTCAGATGTGTATTGTACAGAAGTGTCATTCTTGTGTTATTAGAGAAAATAATTCAAGTGCTGTTCCTTCAAGTACAAAATGATATAAATATGCTTTTATATGAGAAGAGTTAAGGTGGCATTTCACCTTAATAAGTAAATAATATTAAATATTAATATTTTAAACTTCCATCCCTTGATAAAGAGATGGTGTCTGTCTTGGTGTAGGAAGGTGGAAAAACACAGGCACATGACTGAAATATATAATAGTGTAATAAATTCCAGAGAATCCATTTGACAGAGATCATCATGAGGAGAAACATCTGCAATCATGAAATGAATTCATCTTGTACAGACATGATGGAAAGATTACTAATAGAAATAGAGAATATTTTAAATGCAGCTAACATACAGTGTTTTTAATGTGTCAAGCCAAAGACTTTGTACAGTTCAGAAGGATCACATTTTTCTGAAAAAGGTATTGCAGCTTCAGAAATGGCTTAAGTGAATGATTGGGTACACTTACATGGGATGGGATCGTTTCTGTTTGGTAAGAGTGAGAAAAGGCCTTCTTTCTAGTAGGACAAATTATTCTCCAGCTATTCTGGTGTTGTCAAAGGTACCCTGATTTGCTAGAAACCAATTATTTTGTAGGCACATGATACTTCGCATTCTCATACTCCATGACTTTTTAATTTTTTGGGGCAGCTTTTTGGAAGAAACAACCTACTTTTGTAGAACCATAGAATGGCTTTGTTTGGAAAGGACCTCAAGGATCATCAAGTTCCAACCCCTCTACCACAGGCAGGATCACCAACCTCCATATCTAATGGTAGACCAGGCTACCCAGCGCCCCATGCAACCTAGCCTTGAACACCTCTAGGGATAGGGTATCTGGCAGATACTTTGCATCTGTCTCTAGCAGATGGAGCTCCTGCAGTGTCTGAGGACAGGTCATGGGAATATTTCATGCTTTTTTTTTTTCAGGAGTACTTTCCAGATATATGTAGAAATCATGTTGTCTTATTCCTATTTAATATTTCAGTTTGTATGGAGAAGGGAAGGGCTTTCAGCTCTGTGATTCTGGAATAGTTAAGTTATTCTCTTTTCATTCTGCTGGCAGAGTAATTCTGTCTTCATTTCCCAGTCCAAGGCAGAAGAGCTAAATCATCTCTAAAAACAACATTTTCTTTCTTGTAAATGACAGTAAACCTTGCGGACAGTAATGAAGAAGTGAAGAATGATCTGCATGAAAATCTGGTAGTAAGGATAAGGATCTCACTGTGGTGTGGTCATATAGGTGCACAACAGTTACACTGAAATCAGTGAAGTGGAATTGGGGGAGGAGTTTTCTACAACTTGATCTTGTCAACAAAGAGTGAATTGGATGTCTTTATATTCTATGAAGGAAAAACAGCTTTAATAGACAGTGATTTTAGAGTAAGACGTAGAATTATAGTCCAGCACTGGATTCTCCGTAAATCTCTCCACTTTAAATTAGTTTAGTTAATTCAAGTTTTGGCAGTTACGATAGGGATAAAAATGGCTTTTTATTCAGAAGCATAGTTGATTCCTATTGTTGTTTAGGTTCCTGAAATGCTAGCCAGTGGTATTTTTGATGAGCAATATTATGCAGAATTGAGTTATTGCTCTTCCTTCAAGTACAAAATGATATAAATATGCTGTTGCAGAGAAGAGTTAAGGTGGCATTTCACCTTAATAAATGCCTTTGACTCATGGAAAGTGTTGATGTTTAGCTCATAACAGAAGCCAGGTAGAGTTTTAAGCATCCATGCAGAAATCTTTATTTAGTAAAATTAGATGCCCTATACATCATTTGTTTTGATTGTGATAGTTTAATTCAGTTCTCCATTATGTTGGTAAGATGCTTATAAATAACAGTAAATGATTGTTCTGTAAAGTGCTCATTTGCCTGTATAGAGATACCTTGAGGATGTCAATGACACTGGCAAATAAAAGAATGTATGAAGTACTTGAAGGTAATATAAGCTTATTGACGTAATTTGCCACTGTGCTTAAAATGTACTGTTCATGCTTCCAGAATCGAGATGTACTGTATAAAAGGATGATGCTTTGACTTCCTGTTTTTACATGGGAAGAGGAGATCACTGCATTTCTCATGGTCATGAATAGGTCACTTGTCAAGAGCCAGAGCCATTGATGCTCTGTTTCTAATCTCAGATCATTTCTGAAATTACAGTACTTCTTTTTTCCTTTGGAAAAAAAGGAACGTATCAAAATAGAAACTCCAAACAATAAGGAAGATTATCCTATATACCTGTAGTTTTTTAAAAAATTATTTTATATATTCTTTCATTATATATGTATAAGTTTGATACAATTTTAAAACTTATTCTGAAGTTCATTTTGAACGTTCTTCCTCAGGATGAACAACTTGATATTGATCTTACTTTCAGATACTGTGACTTCTGAAAATTGACGTAGTCTCGTGCCATCTTTCTCTATGTGCATAAGAATCCATTTAAAATGAGACATGAACTCAACGTTTTTAGTTTTTATTATACCTATGGAATGTAGACATATTAAAAACTTAATGCATTTATTTTTACCTGAAGTAATTTTTTTCACTGTGCTGAATTTCAGAGACAAATGTTGTTTTCCAAAAAAAGTGGGTTGCTGAGATATTACATAAGAATTATTAGGCTGTGAGTTTGACATACTGAATTTCCTAAGGCAAGCAAACTTTCACTTGCAGCATGGAAGCTGCAAGTCTTTGTATTGCTGATCTAAGTTACGGTCTTACCAACGAACTGGTCTATTTTTGATTCTGAAGAACTGAAAGTGCAGTACAAGACATGAGCAAAACCTGTTCATTGGTGACATAGTATAGAATTTTCTACAATAAAGTTAGTTGTTTTCAATAAATTGTAGCTCAAAAGTCAAACCACTTTCCTCTATCATGCTATTGTTTGATACTTCATGTTTTAGCTGTTTGAAATAGAAAAATGTGATTTGTAGAGCATGGATTGAAGTCACTGATTTTGTAGCTTGGAATTTGATTTGCAGCTGCCTTATTTCTGTTAGAGTCATCTCTGAACTGTACAGTGTAGTATTTGAACTACATGTGTCCATTTAAACATACTTCTATCCAAACTGTGTATGGCACTATACTTGCATTATATTTCTGAGTTGCCTGTCCTGACTTGAAACTGTAGTATTTATTTTAGAAAACACTAATTTCTTCCAGATGTTAAGATTATAGATTAGTCCTTGAGTTCATTTGAAGAATGTTGGGCTGTCTTCCAGTCTGAGTACCAGCAATGCTGAAGTGGTTTTCCTTTGCTTGTCCCAGCAGTACATGTTTAAGGATGCTGGGAGTACCCTCCTGCACAACCATTGGAGCCCAGCCTAGGGATTTGGGGTGTCTTAGGCTGAGGGACACAGCTGGACAAACACTGCAGACTGCTGACAGGACACACAGCACACAGGCACAGCACAGTCCCCTCCTGCCCTTGGGCTGGCAGAGCCAGCAGGCCCTGGTGCAGGTCACACAAGAGATCCACAGGCCATCATCGTGGCTGTGCCTGTCACCTCAGGGCTGCTGGCACCACAACTACGTGTACTGGTCCCCTGGTAGCTCTTACCTGGCAGCATTGCATGGAGCAACATCATGCAGAGATGATGAACCAAGGGTTTAGTAAGAAAATTGGACAGGCTGTGGTAGTCAGCTGCAGGATTCCTTCTGACTAGCCTTAGCATACACACAGCCAACTCCTTTTACACGTTTTTATGTATTTCCCCCTTTGTTCCCATACCTGTTGTCACCTCAGCTGGCATAGATCCACTGACCTTCTCCAGTGTCCTGGACCTTTAGGTTTGTATCTGTATCAGTTGCAAAGACTCTGTTTGCCTGCTACTACTTGATAGCCCATCAGTTGCTATAGTTCACTAATGGCGCATGTTTTACGTCCAAATGTTTGTCTCCATCCTTTATCAGAATTTGACAATAGTGAGAGGACCAGGTTTGTGATCATCACTGCCTCCCTCATCATTTGTTGTTCAGATTTGAGTCTTAGATGTTCTTGTTAATGGCTGCTTCAACTTAAAATGCCCTTAAACAACGCCCAAATTCCCCTCCTTACAGGAGGGAACAGCATCTTTAGAGACTGGCTTTCATGAAGAAGAGGTGGTGACAAGACTATCCAATTAACATGCTATTGTCTATCTCAGTATCAATTCAAAAATGTTTATAGAATGTTTATGAAATAAGGACAAAGAAAAGAATGCATATGGTGTATTACCGTATTACACTTTACTTAGATAACATGGATTTCAAGTTTCAAGAAATGAGTCAAAGTCTTGAAGCTAAGGGCTGAGAAACTGCAGAGAGTAGTAGTAACTCATACACTGGAATTGGATAATAGGTAAGTTTTACTGGGAAGGAAGATTAGTTGGGAATTTGCACATAAAAAATGTTGAAACAGAATCTAAACATTAACCTTTACGAGCATGGCCTACTGATAGAATGAATTTGTTTTTACGTTTTCTAGTATCTGTGCTGTGTTTTTTGAAGCAGGTTAGTTCCAATTATATAAGAAAGATGTATGGTTTGACATTTCGTCATGATTTGTGAGTTTTGGTAAGAATTATGTCACTTTCAAAGTATTATCTCTAAAATATGTAGTGTCAAACATATTGGACATTACGTTTTGTTCTAACTCTTTCTGACGTAGCAGTATCAAGTATCCAAATGAAACATTAATGTATTTATTTCTGTTAATGTGCTTCTGAAGAAGTCTTATGTGCACTATATATTTTAAGATGTACTTTAACTCTATGTAACTGTAAAGTAGCTTGGAAAAGTTTTCTGAGGTTAGAAGGAATTTTTATAGATTATGGGATGAATTTCTGACTGCAGGAAAAAGTCATTTAATATCGCTTGCTTTTTTTTTTTTTAATCATTATTATGTTAGATAATATGAAGAGAGTATTTGAATTCATGACATGTTACCAGAGTTATGGGAGTTTGAAATGCTTGTTCAGCTTCTGGGAGAAGAAAAACAGATAATCTGACTTCATTATACCACAAATGGGCAATACTGTAGGGTTAGTCTTTGTGATGAAGTATGCATAGCTAGGAGATAAAGTCGGCTAGGGAGCTATAGTATGTACTTCACAAGCAGCTTGTTTGTTTGTTTTTAGTGGCAGTGGCCATCATGGAAAGTTGTGAGATAGAATCTCTTTAAAATGCTGCCCTGGAGCTCTAGCCATTTGAACTGCATGAACATGAATTTTAATCTAAAATAAATACTAATATGATAGGCTCGACTTCATGGGCTGGTGCTGTAGAAAATCAGTCTAAACCAAAAAACTGTTTGGAATTTTTCATATTGTGTGTGTTCATTAACAACAGATGGTCATTTTTTGTAGGATAAGTATAACCTTATGTGATTTGTTGTGTATCTTTTGAAAACCTGGAAATACGGAGTTGTTGTTTTTTTTTTTTTGAAAGAAGTTCTATCTTTCAATTTAAAGACAGATATCTGTGAAGAAGTGTGATAGAAGTGCTAGTCTATATATTTGTAAACATAGATTTGAATAGATTTGCTTTTGATAGTTTAATATCCTTGCTGTATGATCCAAAAAATAAAAAAAAAAATCAGTAAAAATACTGATGTATTTGTGGTGCATATGTTGAGTATATGAATTCCTTTTAATCATACAATTGTATTAATGTAAAATTTTACACATTTCCTGGTAGATTTGAAGTTAGTCTTGAATGAATCTTGTAGTTTGAGATTAATTTTCTTCAATGTAATTGTTGATTAAAATAGAAGTAATTTGCATCTTTTTCCTCCTTAGGTATGTATTCTTCTTGGACCCATGCAATATTGATCTGGTACATCAGAAGATCAAATCTCTTGCTTTGTGTGTGTCAGCTTGCCCAAGGAAAGAACTAAAAACTTTGGCTGATGTTCAGAAATTTGCAGAAACTAATGGTATGAAAAAAGCATATCTATTCACGTACCAATTTTGTAAGATTGTAGAAAGACTTGTGCATTATCTGAAAAATGAAATCTCCACTAAGAAATGGTGTTGAACTCGTATCATTTCCATTAAAGCTTACAATGTTAGTATGTTTGTGTTCATGTCTTGGACAGTTTTGAAGGCTCATTCTTAAAACAGGAGCAGAAAGTATAATGAGGATGTCTAACACTGAGCATGTTCCAGCTCTTACAGAAGTGTTCTGATATTGCTGTTCACTGACTGTTGAAATACCTTCAAGAGGCCTGTGACCTCTTTGCATTTCTGCTGTCAGACTGCACATGAAGCATGTCTGTGGTTGTGGGAAATTGTCCTGCTTTTATTCAGTGCCACAGGGCAATACCTTTTTGCTTTGGGGATTGTTTTTTTTTTCTTTTTTTGCTTTTTTAAAAACTATAAAAAAATAAACACTATAAAAAAATAACAGGGAGAACAACTGTATTGCCATATAAAATACTGTACTCCATCCCCAAAAGCAGTACTTTTTCTCTGTAGTAATGATACAAACATTTTTATATTTTAACACTATGCATAATAAAATGCATGAGATATAATAAATTTTTGGACCATACAAAACAAAGTAAAGTAAAAACTTGAAAATAATTTGAGGAAATTGTCAAGTTCTTCCACTATTAAAGTGGAGAATTTTGTTCTAGACTTCACACCTGTTATTTTATAATGCTGTGATGAGATGTCTTCATGATGCAGCTAATGATGAGTCTGTCTGGTTGACCAAGTTCAAAGCAGTGAACTTGACTGCTTTTCACAGACAGAAATGACGTGTTGTTCTCTGTTCTACTACTGGTACTATGAGCACTTGTTTTTGTTTTGTTTTTTTGAAAGCAGAATGAGTTCAAGTGGCCCTAGAACACTATTAGCGCTCTCAGGTCTTCCCAGTGAATTGTCTGCATATCTTGGTATCTGACAGGTGAATCAGGGAGCTTAATATAGTGTGGAATTAAAGCAGTTACTTGAAAGTCTGTGTGCAAACAGCTGTCTCAGCACCATGCAGGGGATAGTCTGGGAGTGATAACATCCTCATGTAATTTGTTTACTGCTGTCAATTTAAGCCCACAATGAAAGTTAGTATTACTGTAGTATGGTTTTGCTCTTCACCTCTAAATGTGGCTGAGTCTCTCTTACTTAGTGCAGACTCAGTATATTTTTTGTGTGGAGTTTAAGTACGTCTTGAAGTAAAAAGCAGCCTGTGTTACCTGTAATACTGTGTAACCACAAATACTGTTTCTGTGTTTCTATGTGAAGTTTTATGTAAACTACGCCTGAAATATTTTCAGCATAATCATTTTTTAAAGTATAGCAAAAGTTGCTCTTCCTAAAAACTATGTGTCTTGTCTTAGTCATTCTAACTGTATCTCCCTTAGCATTTTTAGGTTTTAAACAAAACTCAGATTTTCATTAATTAGTATCAGAGCCAGTTGTTTCAGCTTAGAGAAGCTTGGCCAAAAGTGTGAAATATGTTGTTAAAGCAAAATAGAAGCCCCAGTTTCCATTATATGATTTTGGGCTTTTCAAGACAACCAAAAAAAAAGAGTACTGAACTAAGTCAGGCTTTCTTTTTTTAAGTGTATGCTATACAAAACTGGAATCACACAGTTCTGTGGAATTTATTTTCATGGCTTTAGTTCTGATTTAAATGTTCACCACTCAGGGCAGGTTCCAAAAAGTTTATTTTGTAGCAAATAAACAGCCTACCTGTTGAGCACCGTAAATGTTATGGCAACACAGTTTGCCTATAGATAGTAAAATTGAAGGCATTATTCAATCCTGCAATAGCGAAAGAACATTGAATTAATATAAAAATTACAGGATTCGTTATTCAGGATCTTTTCTCTGAGAGCTGCTTTATAGCTTTAAGAAAAGGTTTAAGCTACATAAAACTATTAAACTCTTGCAGGCTATTTCAAGTGACAATAAACCCTATAAAAAGAACGATGAGGAAATCTGAGAAATTTGAATATGACTGCACACAGTTTAGTTGCAGTTTCTATTCTAGTGATGTTATCAAGTTAAGTTTGAGGAAGGAAGGCAAGAGATTTGTTTGGTTTACTGTGACAGTCAGTGGAGTTTTCCATGCTAACAATTTCTAACGCCTGTCAAAAAAATAAACGCCTCAATATTTGAAAATGCATGGGCGTAGGATGCAATAAAACCTTAATTTTGATCTGCTGAACCTTTCTAAAAGCTTTAACTCTTCTACAGCTTGAAGATCATAGTGATGCTGAAGATAGGCTTTGTGTAGGTTGCTGCATGTAATTTGAAGAACTAGCCATTTTCATCTGGCTCAGATGTCCTTCCTGAAGTCAACTTACCTGTCTCTACACCTTGCAATTTCTTCTTAAATTACTGCTTAAGAGTCATTCTATTCAAAATAAGTTCATCAAAAGTTGGCATAGAAAATTCAGATGAAGAATTTTACCTGAACGTCTTTATGAGAAGCTGTAATACATACTGCAACATACTGATTTTATTATTTTATTGACATTAAGATACGATCCTTCGAGTAGTTTAGCATTTATGGTTTCTTTCCTAAAATGGGGCAGGTACTTAACTGCTTACACACAGTGTGATAGAACTGCTACCCCAGAACTCAAAGCTTTTAGGGAGGAATTCTTTGTTATAGTGCAGTACAGCATGTGTTTGTAAGCAGTACGACATGTTTGTAAAGTTATGAATAGAAATTTAAGGCAGATTCTTAATTCTTGCTTGAGGCATGAAGAGCATTTCATCGTGAAGCAGCCTTTTGGCTTCCTGAATCAATGATGATGCACTTGCTATTCTGCTGTAATTTTGGAAAAAGAGATGATTTGGTGAATAATGCTGCACCATTTCAGTTTAGTAACTTCTTCTCTACCCTACTTGGTTTTTCACTACAAGGTCCTGCATTAGCAGTGCCATTGCATCTAAGAAAAAGAGAACTCTGTTCTTCAGAAAGCCAAGCTGAGATTCAAGAAACAAGAAAGTGTGTGCCTTCAGTCTGTTGAGAGTGATTGATGGACAGAATACTGGTAATTGGTTGGGACCTCTTAGAAGTGGCAAAACAAGGAAGGAGAATGCTGGGCAGTTGGCTGAGATCTTCCCCATGTACAAAGATGCAAGCTGAAAATCTTAAATATGTTTTGAAATGACTCCTGAAGCTGATGCAGCATTTACAGGGAATGTTTTCTACTTCTGCTCTCACCCAGACAAACTAATAGTTGACCTTATGGAGCTAATGGATTTTGTACAGCAAAGAAATTTTGTAACACGAACTGATTATTGGCTGATCTCTCCAGGACTTTGTCACCCAGCAGAACATTTCAGACAGGGATTTGATGTTTTTGTTTGGTCTTTGCACTTAAACAAACAAACAAAAACTGTACATGTTGTGTATTGTTTCTTTTTCTTTTTTTTTTTTTTTTTTTTTTTAGAAAGCCAATTGGTGCATGACATGTAGGAAACACTACAGTGGCCTTTTCAAGGCCTTGCCAAAGCATTTCTTAACATCTCTGAAGATGTAATTAATTTATAATTGTGAGAAATGAGCTATGTGGTGTCAGTATTAAAACAAACAAACAAATAAACAGCACTAAGCAGCTGGCCAGAATGTCTGACATGTTTAATTAAATATTATTTGTAATAACTAATCTTTATGAGAGCTGGCATTCATATATGTTTTGTAAATAACTACATGCAGATTTAGGAGCCTGAAATACTTCTGTTCTAGTATGTGTTGTCAGACATCTCCATAACGAGAATTCTGTATTTAGACCAGGCAGGTTGGGGTTCAGGTAGACTTCAGAGTTTGAGGTGAAGGTACATTAAGTCTGCTACTGTAACTTACCTGAAGTAAGTCAGGAAAGCTGCCTGGACCAGAGGAGGGCATCTGTCTGATGCTCTAGGGGAAATCTTTTTTTTTTTTTTTTTGTTTGAAGGTAATTAATTTTTTACAAATAATAATCAAAGTAAACCTTTACAGTGTGCTGATAGTATTTGCCATAGAAATACCTTAGAAATAGTAGTTACATCACTGCCAGATTCTGACATTTTTCTTCTGTTTCTGTTCTGTCTACTACCGTTTTTTTCTCCTTTTCCTCAATAGAAGTGTCTTGTTTAAAACTCAATTCTTAATTTTCCAAAAGACATTTGTTCCACATTAGATGTAGGCATATGGTTAAAGTGATTGTGAACCACAAGATCTTTGGGAATCTGAACGTATAAATTTCGACTGCCATTTTTTTTTAACAACTTTTTTTTTTTTTTTTAAAGATAAAAGGCAGTATGGCTACTTTGTCTGTTACTACAACCTTCCTATCAGAATTATTTTGTGTTCAAAATGGGCTGCAGTTGGAATGAAGCAGTTTTACAAGAGAGAGGGAGGCTGCTTTGGAATCTTTCAGTAATCTGCATCAATACAATATTTTTGATTACATTAAAAAACTACTTGGGAAGGGAAGGAGCAGTGTGGTAATGAATCTTGCTACTGCCATGTAATTGTTTACAATTACATGAAAAAATATGATGTCAGTGATAGTGCAACAAAATATCAAATGTAATGGAATACCTTCAGAATGAAGGGGTAGGAAATAATCATTGGTATATGTTTTGTGTTTTACTACAAACAGGTTATTGCTGCTTGGGAAGGAGATTTTGAAGCTACTTAGTACAATGAAAGAATTAGGGGAAAGCACAGAATTGTCCAGAAGTGTAAGATTTATTAATTGTTAAGAGAGGAAAACAAGAACTATATTACATGTGTGAATTCTTGCTCTGTTGTCATCATAAAGATTGTGTTATCATCCTTACTTTGTGAATGTCAGGTGATGGTGCATCCCCTTGGAACACGCAGGAGTTTAGATACATTCAATCTCCTCACTTTCCTTCCTTTGAAACTGTGTACTCCTGAAAGACACTGAAGAATAGTTCTAAAGAATGAAACTTGCTTTATTCACTGAGAACGAATCTGTTGTATTTATCTGAGAAGTCCTGACCACAGTGCTTCATCCAATGCCATTTTGCTAATCTCAAGGCATCAGTACTTTTCTGGTTTCTAGTATGACCCAGAAATTAGATTAATATGTTAGGTAACATTCTGTCATCATGAGGCCTTTTATGTGTATCCTGGAACCATTTACAGTAGAGGTGTCTACAATATATGTAGGCATGTTTATGCAGACCTCTGATGCTTCCATGTTAATTACTACTTCAGACTGTATTCATATCAATAGCTGAGATGTGGAGTTCTTGTTTTCTCACTCATTTATACTTCTGATGCTAACTTGTGCATAACATAATGCTGCTTCATTCCTAAATGAAGCATTAAATATGAACTATCTGCTTCTGAAGTGTCTTTGTTACTGCCTTGTCAAGTAGGAAACTGATCCAAGCCTAAACTTTATGTATTCTTAGTGCTTGTGTTCTCAGTGCAGTTATTTCATACGGTTGTTGACAGGATATAATCACAATTGTCAAACCTAGGAATGAAAAATCAGCACCAGTGTATTTCCTTTCATGATAGCTTGAGCCTTTTTCAACTTGGAAGGAATGAAGAGGGACTTCTGTTAGCAATGAATAGTAACTTAATTTTGTATGGAAACACTGCTTGTCATCTTACCTAGTCTGTGGTTTTTGGTTTTAGAATTTATAGCAGAATTCTTCTCCAGTGTCTTAAGCTTCCATCTCTTTTTTTTTTTTTTTTTTCTTTAAAGGAAATGGGACGATTGCACCCATGACTGTGTTAAGGTTGGAAGGAAAGCATATCTTTTGAGACACTTTGTACCAGTCATGGCCTCAAAATATTCTAATGCCTAGAGCAGCTCGTTTTATGGATAAGCCATGGGACAGAAACGGTGTTGCATCTCCAGAATACCACCTAGTGTATGAAAGCACCAAATAAAAAGCACTATGAGACCATAAGACTCTGGTGTATTCGTTGTTGGCTGGGCAGCTGTTAGGCCACATGGTTCAGAAGTATTTTTCTTCAAGGTTACAGCGTGTTGTGATCTCAAATTCAATCCATGTAGGACAGTTGAATGTTACTTGCCTAATTATTTCTCCAGAAGAAATATATGCAGAGAGATTAGCAAATAATTATTATATAATGATTTTTCAGTTTGTTCTCTGAATTCTACACATAATGTTTATGAAACAATTAAGAGTGTTAGTAGTTTAGGAATAATAGTAATGTCTTTGGTAAACTAATTGTCTCAGCAAAGTAGATAACTGGAATTAATCTTTTAGCTTCTCCAGGACTCACAAACTCAAAGAGCACAATTGAGACTGGCTATGCAAAGATTAGTCTCTATAGTCCATATTAGAGGAGTCTAAAGAAGCAAGTTCCATGAATGTAAAATGGAAAGCCATAGCCCAGAGGAGCCCTGGGAGCAAGCAGTTCATAAGAATCATCATAGAATTCTAAAATGGCTTGGATTGGAAAAAAACCTTGAAGATAATCTAGTTCCATCCTCCCTGCTGTGGGCAGAGTTGCTACCCACTAGATCAGGCTGCCCAAGGCCCCATCCAGCCTGGCCTTGAGCCCCTCCAGGGAAGGGAAGGGGCATCCACAGTTTCTTTGGGCAGCCTATGCCAATGTCTTACTGCCCTCTGAAGGAAGGATTTCATAGAATCAGAGGGGGGTTTGCATGTCTCCTGACCAATGTACCTGCAGAACCCCCTGCAGAACCCCATGATATTTTTTATATCTCTTGTCAAGTTCTTTTTTTTTTTTTTTTCCCTGCACTTTGGCTTTCCTGATCCTGTTGCTGCATGGATTTTTTTTTTTCCCCAGTCTGTACATGTCTGGAATTGTTCCAACCAAGGTGCAGCATCTTGCATTTGGCTTTGTTGAAACTTAATAGGTTCATGTGGTCCCATTTATCCAGCTTGTCCTTTGGATGGCATCACTTCCTTCTTCGTATCAACTGCAAGAGATGAGAGTCCCAGACAAGAGGTGGTAGTGACAGCCAGAAGCATCCATTGCTCCTTTGAATGACAGGATGGGGCGTGCTCAGGAGGGTTCTGGGTTGAACTGACAACATGTTTCCAGTTTCCTCCACAGCCAGGGACTTTCTGGCTCATCTTCATCAACAATTTCTGCTTGAATGTCTGTGTGCAGATTATGATCTGGCATTCATTATTTCTCCCATTACATTTTTGAGTGGGATGCAAAGAGAAAGACTTTGAAGTGCGCTTCTTCTTTTGTCAGATTCTCCTGTTCCAGGCCTATAGTGAATTCTGCTTTCTCTTTTATCAGCTGGGATCAGTAAAAGTCACAAGGAACACCACAGGCCTTCCACAGGTCACCTGTCCTCTGCGCTTATATGGTGTGGGGGCCTCTGTATATGTTACGAAAGCTGTATCTGAACACTGGTAGCACTGAACAAGAAAACAGAGCAGACATCTCATTTTCAGTGTCTTGAATCTGTATAAGCTTGTCCTTATACAGGCCCTCCTACTTCTTCATGAAATAATTTCTATAAGTTAGATTTTGGTCTCTGTATTGAAAGCAGAACACAGTTAAGTATCTTCTTGTTCCTTGTGTCTCTAAGAGATGGTACATATGTGACTGCTTCCTGCAGTGTACCCCACCTCATAGGTCTCACACCTATAGCAATGTGTCCAGATCAAAAACTTCTGCACTATTATAGTGCCTTTTGTCCAAAAAGAACAATAATTACTTTTAAATACTCCTTTTATCAGTGTGATGTTAAGAAGGTAAATTTGTCTCATGTCTTTCTATATAATACAGTATAATCCACAAAATCAGACAGAAGCATCAGGATGCTTACAAACGGTAAAATTAAAAACAGAGTTCAGATGTTTTCCCTCTGCAAGAAATCTAACTTTCTTCAATGGTGTATTTGGTGTTTTGGGTCTTCCCCCCAGAAATTGACTCTGCAGAAGCAATACTTAAGTAGTGTTCTGGAGACTGAATGGAATAGCTTCCTCAGCTGTTCTGTCTTCTGTTCCAGCCCATAAATAGAGATGTTTTCATAGGGATAGCAATATGCCAATGGTAAACAAGATACCTACAACTTCTACAAATAGTATGTTCACTTTCTATGAATAGTACTTAGGTTTTGTGTCACACAAGCCAAAAGAAGAGTGTTTCTCAGGACTCACAACTTAACTTGTGGAAAAATTAATAATGTCTATATTATTTAGATCCAGTTTGTAGAACTCCCTTCTACTAAGTATTCATGGAGAGAAGACTTTGAGAATATGAGGAATAAAATCTACCTGTGGATCACCAAGATGTCCTTAGTTAGTTATGCAGCCTTTACCATTCTTTTTTACATATACAGAATCCCTGCACTGGAGAATTAGAAAGCAAACAAGCTTGGGAAGAAGCTCACTTTGGATAAGCAGCTCATCCCCTTGCAGCTTTTCTCTCTTCCCCCTGTTTCTGAGAAACCAATGCTCCAATCTGACTTGGCAGTTGCTCTTTTCCTGGAAACACTGGTGTCAGTGTTGAGTATGTTGATCATAGACAAATGGGAAGAGAGCTGCCTGGGTAGTATATGTCCATTAGGCACATGTTTGATATTAAGTAAAACTGAAATAATGTCTGAGTTTTGTTTTTGGCGATTTGATATTTACAATACTGTACTGACTTGTACACGTAGAATATTTAGCTTTTTTAAGAGCTTTAGAGATTTGATACAGTCAGACCTTGTAGTTAGCCAACTACATAACCTCTGCAGTTTGGTTCCTTTATTCCCTTCTCTGAAGTCTTTAGATCAGTTGTATTTTAAGAACATTTTTTAAAGTAAACTGAATATTTATTAATATAATAAGTGTTGTATTATGCAATATTCATACACTGAATAATCAAGAAAAAATGTGGTGGGGTAGCGGGGAAGAATGACTTTGAGGTGCATTGTGTCTTTTACATGGGATCATGAATCAGCCTTTTCCTCTTGAATTTATAAACTCTGGAAAATCCAATACTAGATGGAAAACATAATTCTGTTGACTGAAGTATATGCTAGGCTTGATTCAGTGCTTCATTACAAGAGGAGCTGCAGCATAACATTGCAGTAATAGCATGAGGCACTGCAGAATGACAACCTGTATCAGTTTTGATGTTGTTTGCAAAGATTAGGAATATTTGATTTTTCTCCATCAGTCGTTTTTCTTTTTTTTCCCCCCTCTCAACAGGATCTACTCTGTGTAGCTATGAACTACTGCCATCAGAATATACTACAGACCCGAGGGCTGCCAAGTTGTGTCCTAAATATCCTGTTCCAGAGAGGTAATATTAACATCTTATCTGATGTGGGGGTGAAGGGAACAGAGACTTAATTTGTTTAGATGATTAAGTGTTCTTTAGAAAACAAGCCTCATAAATTTCTTGTTTTACAGATGGATTTTTTTTATTATTGTTGCATGTTTTTAAAACGCATTGGGAATACAGCTTATAAAGGAAAACCTGAATTATCCACACATGCATTAGTAAGATGACTGAGCTGATATAATTCAGTTCTCTACTGTCTCATGTAACCAGTACAGTGCTGAGTATCAGCTGTTTTTCTACCTTTTACCCACAGCCAGCTGCCTTCCAGTGCTACAGTTCAGGGAGCCATGTGTGACTATGTCATTTTCCCTCTCAAAAATCCAGTATGCCTCAGAAATTATATGTCGAGTATTCACTGTTTGCTCCTTACATCAACTAATCAGGTGCAGCAAGTTGCTTCATTTTTAATTCTTTCAGTTCCCAAATGACCAATGTGGGAATGCTCAAGAAATAAAAAGGGATTTTTATTTTATAAACAGATCAATTTGAGTTTTATTGTTCAAAATATTATGCTGGACTGCTTTTTGTGAAGTAGAGAGAAAGGACTCTTGCTCCAGAGACTCTGCTATTGCTAGCCATGTTGGCTCCACTGGAAGCATTTCTGTGAAAAGAAATGACTATACACATTTTCATCAGTAATTCTTCTCAAGAAGAATCCAGTTCTGTTTTCTCACATTTTAGCTTTTCAAGCATATCCAGTAGAGATTGTAACTGCTTACTCTTGCCCTATACATCATTTTTTGTTAAAGTTTAATAAAATGTCAGTTCTAGAAACTCTAGTTTTAAGTATCTCTTGTTGTTATGGTAGGCTATCTGGTGAATATATATTTTAATGTATGTAGCAGCTGGAATTTATTTATTTATTTTACTTTTCCTCACAGCAAGTCAGTATTCTATGCAACTAACCAGCTGTTATAGCTGTAATACAAAAATGAAAATTTCAGTGCTGGCTTGCATACTGAAAAGCCTTGTCAGTCTTAATTTCTGTCAGATACATATTGACTTTCCTTACTGTGTGTTCCCATGCCATTCAGTCTGAATGAATGTAACTTAATAAGAAAACAGATAAGTAGAACAGTATGTCAGAACTCTAATGATACTATGTAAATTCTGTGGAAACGCTGCCTCAAGTTATTTCGGAAAAGCTATTGTGTCAGTGGTGTATTTCCCCTTTGTTATTTGGCATGAATAAAATGTACAACATATTTGAATATTTTTGAAATTGAGAAGTCTAAGCTTGATGCCCTCAGGCAGAAAAGGCCTATATTGTATATGTAATCCACTCTGTTTTTCAGATTTTTATGGTTAAATTATTTGAGAAAATTGGTGTAATTTGGAGGGGAAATGGAATCCTGTGGAGGGAGACAAATGAAAAGCCTGCACACTGTAGACTGAGACATTCTGGCTGAACTTACCAGCCCTCCTTTTCTTTGATTCAATCTGTCAGAGGTAGGAAACATCATCTAACTCCCATTAGGTCAGTGGAATTGGAGGTAGCTCAAGCTGTGAGGTCTGTCCCTTGATATTTGATGACTTCTCACCTTGCAGTTGAGACTCTGGTTCTCAAGGGACTCCGATCCACCACCTTCAAGGGACCATGTACCTTTAACTTAACCGTTCAGCCTAGCAGTGCAGTTAGCAATTCATGTTTCTGCTGTGACTGCCTAGAATCTCTGAGTCTCAGGGGGATCACAACCTTTCTTTTTAGTTTTGGAATAGAGAACACTAGAGGAAAATCCATTCAGCTTTTTCCTCCAGTGTTTCTCTCTCAGCCAGCTCTGTGGAGCTGTACTAAGAGTCTGTTTGGTAAAGCTTATAGAAAACAAAAAGCTGGGTAACAGTGGCATTTCAACCAATCACCCTATACATAGGTGTACAATCAATGAATATGTGGATATTATAATTAAGAAATACACAAGAAAGTTAGGCTAAACAGGTTATCACACTAAAGAATGGATGGAAAGCTTACCCTTGTCCTGGATTCACTGAGAAGACTCCAGGAGGAGCAGTCTCCAAAGGAGATCCTTCTCCAGTGAATAGTCAGCTCTTAAATGGGATCTAGGAGAGTTGGAGCCAGGCTCCAGCCCTTCCAGTAGCACAGGAGAGTTGTCTTCACCTATTCTACCAGGGCTGACTCATTGCTCACCTCCAGTGATCAATCAGAGGTTCAGGCCATTATTCAGCTGTTCCCATACAATAGGTTTCTGTGGGTATAATTGTGAAAGAAGAGATTTCTGAAATTGAATACTTGAACAGTTTGGTAGAGGTCTTAACTTCATCTGCTGACTTGAACTGCACTTGCTTTATTCTTCATTAAGCACATGTTATTATTCTGAGAAACTTGCAATTCAATTTCAGTATGCAATATATCAAGTAATGATTGAGAGGCCATACGAGATAGTGCAAGTCACAGGGAATAGATCTATTATTGCATTTTTAATTAAACAGGACACCTTGCCTTCCTTTCTCATTGAGACAGAATCACTGAAATAGTAGTAGAACTCAAAAGATGAATTCTCCGGAGTGCAGTTTATTCTGGAAAGCTTGTAGGAACCTCATTTTTTATTAATTATGATAAAGTTAGAAATTAATTATTGCATAGGAAAATAGGTAACTTAAAATAGTGTACTGAGAGTACTGTAATACGAGGAGTGTTTAAATAGGCAATACAAAGTGGTACACAAAAAACGTGTTTTCCTATTAGGGTGGATTTTGGAATGGCATTTTATTCCTGCTAGACTTTTCAAAATTGGTATTTTCTTATTCATATTGCAGAGATAATAGTTCCTTCCATACTCCCAGCTCAAAAATTGTGTATTGCTGCTGGTATTGACAATTTTTTAAATACTCCAGAATTTGTGCAAAGTTGGAGCAGTTAACAGCAAAATAAAAGTCAATTCTCAATATTTCCCAGTATTAATGCTTATAACGATCTGTAGCATGTTGCATATCCCAAATAGACTGAGAGGATGCTGTCTTTTAATAGAGCTGCCATCAATATTGGTTTAGTTTGTTTTTTAACAACAGCACAGAATTGCTCTGCTGTGCTTAACTGCCGCCTTCATCAGTAACCAACAGTAGATTATAACATGAGCACTTGCAAATGTGTTCATCTTTTCGGCACCGTGAGATTAGAACTGTGTAATGTATAATTGTCAGTCACTTCAATCATAACCCTAGAATCTATTAATTATCTAAGACTGGAAGGTAATCATAATTTTTCCTGAATTCAGTGCAGATAATTGCACTCTTGTGGTTTTAGGAATGTTGTCTTTTTTTTTTTCTCTTCAAAATGGAAAGCAGCAATGCATAGGAAGATTGTGCCTAACACAGCTGATTTGCTCACAGTGTGTTTAAGATAAAGGTTGGAATTCTAGAAAGACTTGGGATTTATGAGTAGTTTAAGCAAATAGGAAATCATTGGTTTATGAGTCATTGCTGAAATGGGGATACTGCAAAATATTATGTGCACTGCTGCTGCAATCCCCTGAAATCTTGTAAGGAAGGAATATTACAGAAGAGGAAATAAATTTAACTATAAAAGATTGACTTAGCACAAAATATATTTCTTTTATTGGATCAATTTACAAAAAGGAGTGTATAATTAATGAAATATACATCTGAATTGCAATTGGGAAGTTTGACACAAAGATTTGATAGGCTACTTTGAGATGTGACATCTCTTATAAGCCAGAAATGGGGAACATTTGGAAAATAAAATTATCCAATTTTCATGTGAAGATTTTTGCTCTTTTGTCTTCCCCTGATGCACTTGATGGCAGATCGTGCTGAGCATTCAAAAAAATACTAGCCCCAGTGTTTTGAGAGAGGATGCTTCCAAAGCAGTTAAGGAGTAATGAAGTCATAGAGACACCTTTGCATGTTTTTGCAGAGAATGTAGTGCATTATTTTACTAAAGTAGTGAAGCTAAACAATGTGACTTTAGTAGAAGAATAAATGTAGTATGGGGTAATACTAAAAATGTATGTATTGGTTTTGCTTGACGACAGTAAACGGCGGATGTCTTGAAATGCAAACTGTGTCCTTTTAAGAGTAGTATTGTCATTCTGGGATTTCTTTGCTTCAAACGTGAGCAGTACTCCACTTCAACATGTGTGAGAGGCATTGTTTCAGCTGCTGGTTCACCGTGTGACACTTGAATGAGAAATGTTTCAGTGAAATAGGAACATACATTTTGTGAGCCTTACTGTTTATGGGTGGGAGGGTAATATGCTATTGGAATGTGCGCTCCAACTTCACAGGATTACCTGTAAGAACAACATCATTTCCCATATAATCATCCTCATTCCAGCAGCACTTGTGCATTCAACACATGGTTTCTGGTTATGATGTTATGAGGGTGGAGTGGTTGCATCTATTCACCTTTCATTTGTGTGTTGATGTGGCATTTATATTAAGTAGGAGTAATTTTTTTTCCTGATTTTTTTTTTCTTGTGTCACCAGTGCACCTATTCCATTCTTCCATCGCTGTGCTCCTGTGAACATTTCCTGCTATGCCAAGTTTGCAGAGGCCCTGATCACCTTTGTCAGTGACAGTAGTGTCTTACACAGGCTGATTAGTGGAGTTATGACCAGCAAAGAGATTATAATGGGACTTTGCTTGTTGTCACTAGGTAATTGTTTTTCTCATTATTAGCTATTTACTGCAGTAGGAGATTGTTAACACCCTCTAATCACAATATGAGAAGAAAAAAACAAACAGACATGTATTATAGCATTAAGCCCTTAGAAAATGGTTCAGAATGGTACATATTTTTTGACAGCTAGATGACTTCTTCAGAAGCAATGCATGTGCATTCTTGTTTTTTTCTCCTCTTCCACTGATGGGAGATAGAAGATGTGGGACAGGTGATTAGTTAACATTAGTTTTGGTGTAGTTAACAGAGCATCTGCATTCTCCTCATTTTTATTAAAATATTCACGTTTTTCTTTTATAATATTCATCTGCCAACTGAAGTCCCTTTCCAAATAAAAAGAACAGAGAGGTACACAATACTATCCTTCTTGTTTTGGTTTGTTTAATTTAAATTAATTGTGCAGGGATGCTCGAATTTTATGAAGGAAATGTAATTCATGTTACTCCATCCTCCAAAATAAATAAATAAATAAATAAATAAAACTTCAGGCTTTTGAAAAACTCAGCCAAAAAGCTATAAATTCCCAGCTGTATAGAGGTACTGAATGGTTTTTCAGTTAAAGTACAGGCCTTTTCTGGCTTGTAAAGTGACAAACTACACAAGAATGAAGAGCTGTGGTAACAAAATATTGTAAATTAAAGTGTAATGCTAGTCACTCGCATAAATTACTTTTCTAATGAGTATACTCCTACTAAGTCTTTTTTCTGATTATACCAGATATAGTAAATGTGAAATGGAAAGCACCAGACACTAGTCATGCATATGAGCAGTGTGAGGTTAAAATAAAAGGCTGCAAAGCTGTAACTGAAAAACAAGTCTTTCTGTTTTAATCTGCCTTTGTAGTTACAGCAAATAAATAAAAAAAAAAGAAGAGGCTAGTTACCACTCAACAGAAACAGAAGACGATTGAGTATCTTTTCAGCTCTCAGAGAGCTGATTATTGTTTTACCTTGTAATGATAAAATAACTATCCAGAATATTCTGAAAGTTAGTGGCTGAATTATTAGTGTTATTTTGGGTTAAGAGGCGGAAGTTTGTACAGTGTTTCACATACAGTTAGTTTTAACTTGAAAGGGAAAACTGTGTGATAATTTCCACTTTTTTTATATTTTCATAGTTAATTTATTTTGAAATAATTGGTTAGATAGTGTGATTCTCTAAGCCTGTTTTTAGTAGCTTATTATTGTGTACAAATAGGTATGTGGAAATGTCCACTACTCCCTAAATTATAGATGGCTGACACTGAAGATGTCTTTTTAATATGTAGTTCCTGAATGACAGTGGAACTGTATGAGCAGAGCTTGTTAAACAACTCATTTTGAATGTTGAAAATAAGCACAAAGTTGTATTCTTGAGGAGGCGTGCTCATGTTACTAGACTCGAGTACTAACATGTCTTGCTGTCTGTTATGTCATTGTCTAAATACATCTGTCTATACGTACGCATTATGTTTTGTATGTAGTGTACCATGTACATGTACTTATGCTCTCTTTTGTTTTAATCAGCAGCACCAAAGCAGGAGATGTAGAGGTGCCTGATTTCCTTAACTGTCTGTGCAGTGAGTCTGTAAGATGCAGAAAATAAATCTGCCTAAAAATTATTTTGAAGGCAGTCTGATCTTAGTGCAGAGGAAGAATTAGAAACGCTATTCCTACTTGAAATAATTGCTCTGCTTATCTCATTCATCTTTTTTCTTTTTTTTTTTTTTCAGTGTTGTCCATGATTTTGATGGTTATAATCAGGTACATTTCAAGAGTGCTTGTCTGGATTTTAACAATTCTTGTCATTCTGGGATCACTTGGTAAGTTGCGTTCATCTCTTAAGTTTTTAGGTGCCCTGTTCTTTTATTTGTTTTCTATGTCTACAGACTAGCAAAATGCTGCTTTTATTTTGGAGCTATTCCTTTTTGTTCAGCTTTCATTTGACCTCCTTGTAATTGCAGTACACTCTCAGATAGCATGTTGCTCCATAGGGATTTTCTGCACTTCTTGCTTGGCAAGCAAGCTTCTTTTCAGCCTCACTGTGCAGTCCTAACCGCTGCCTTTTGCTTAACTTTGCAGTCATATCAGCAAGCTGATCTGGATATGTTGATAGCATACCAACCCATTGGGTGTACTCAGGCTTTTGGGAATCAAAGGGCAGATGTTGTTTATGTGGCCTCAGGGTATCTCAGGACATAGATTTGTCCATATCACCGTGACACATTCATGATATCCTTCAGTCCTCCTACGGGCTATTTTAGGCCTGTCCTTAAAGAGAGGAAGCAAGGATGGTTTTCTGTAATTTCTAATCAAATCCTATTTCCATTGACCTAGGAAGTCCTGTGTGACCTAGGTAATGTATGAAGTAGAACCAGCCATGACATCTTGAGCATAACCAAAGATTGTCCTATACAAAATGATTCTTAGTCTGCATTATCTTCTATGAAGGTTATATTCTATATTTGTAATAGCAACAGATGTGTGATGTATAGACAGATGAATATAAGGGAGGAACAAGAAAAAAGCCACTGAATTACAAAGTACTAGCAGTGTGATTTTCAATTTGTATTAGAAAGGGATCGGAAAAGAAAAAAAAAGCAGACCATCGCTTTTTTTTTTCTGCTTACTGATCCCAAGGACTCTTACCACAGAAGAGAGAAAAAAATACATATATATTTTCTTCGCAAGCGTTATTATATATTTTCTTTACTTCAAAGTAAAAATTAATAAGAAACTCTATCTTTGAAGACAGCAAAAATAAAGCATTTAGTAAACATAGAGTTTAAAAACTGTCTTTAGGAGAATGTAAGAATACCTATGTAGTAATTAAAACTGATAGTGATTTGCCCAGCAGGATGTGATCATTAAAGCCAGTTGGTATAAGCTTTTGGGATTTCAGCAAAACTTTCAAAACTGTTTCTCACGGAGTTCTTCTAGACAAAATATCCAGCTTGACAAAAGGATAATACAGTGAATGAACTGACTGGCTGACAGGTTCCACTGAGAGTGTTGCAGTAAATGTAAGGTAGGGTAGGTAAGGTTCCACAGGGCTCAGAGTTCCTATAATGTTTTTTTTAAAATGTCCTGGATTCAGGATGCAAGTGCATACTAAGTAATGCAGATGACACCAAATTGAGAGGAGCTGTGGAATTCCTCAAACGCAGGGAGGCCTTGCAGAGAGATCTTGGCAGGTTGGTGGGCTGGCCTGTCAGCAACTGCATGAAGTTCAACAAGAGCAAGTGCTGGATTCTTCACTTGTGGTGGAGCAGCCCTGGTTATATGTACAAGTTGAGAACAAGAAGCATAGAGCAGCCCCAGAGGAAAGGGATTGCAGGGTTCTGTCTGACAACAAGCTGAACATGAGACAGCAGTGTGCCGTGGAGCCCAAAGGGCCAACTGTACCTCGGGGTGCAGCAGGCCCAGCGCTGCCACTGGGCAAGGGGAGCGGCTGCCCCCTCTGCTCTGTGCTGTGCAGCCTCACCTACAGCACTGCGTGCAGGTTGGGTGCTGCAGTACAAGGACATAAAGCTATTAGCATCCGAAGGAGGGCTGTGAGGACGGGCTATGTGTGGAGGGCAGGTGCTTCAGTGCAGAGCAGAGGAGCTGAGGGCAGCCCTCCATGGCCGCTGCAGCTCCTCACAGGGAGCGAGGGGCAGCACTGAGCTCTGCTCTGTGTGACGGTGACAGGGCCGGGGGAACGGCATGGAGCTGCGTCAGGGAAAGGGTCTGCACCAGAGGGCGGTGGGCATTGCCCCAGTGTCAGAGTTCAAAGGGCGTTTGGACAGTGCTCTGAGACATAGGGTTTGAGTTTTGGGTGGCGCTTTGTGAAGCAGGAGGTTTAATTTAATCCTTGAGTGTCCCTTCTAGCTCAGAATGTTCTGTGGTTCTAGAAAGGCAGTAAGGAGGCCATATGTAATAAGCAATGAGCAGTACAGTGGGATGCGGATGTGGCCAGAACACAGACAGCTTCTTCAGAGGTGGACTGTGGGAAAACTCAAATGGTTCCCGTGACATTACCCGTGCCCCCTTTTATTGAAGAAGTGGCAGCAGCACATTTTTTTGCTGTGTGAGCATTTGTGTTTACATCTACCAATTACAGCTTCCTTGGAAGGTCCTTATGAGTCCCTTCCAATTCAAGATGTTCTATGATTCTTGGGTAACCAGACTGAATGAAAGAACTTAATAACTTATCTTACTGTAACTTACTGTTACAATGTTCTTAAAAATTGCAGCCATCACAGAGACTGAAAAAGGACGTATTCTCTCTGAAATACTCTGCTTATTCTTTATTTGATGTATGCTTATGAGATGCCAAAAGAGCACCCTCTGGTTTAGAGCTCAGTAGAGTACCTTTAGCAAAGTCAGTTTGATCTCCAGATAAGCTTATGGAGATGATTAACAAGGAATAACAGGAAAGAATACTATGAGAGGAAAAAAAAAAAAAAAAACCAGCTGCAAAGGTTAGTTCATTGAGAGGCTGGAATCCTGTATTTAAAAAAATTCTAACTTGAAAGACAGGTAAAATATGCAATTGAAGTACTGGTTTAAAGGCTAGGTTTTCATAACAGTGGTTAGAAGAAGGTATCATATTGTATTGGCCTCCTGGCCTTTTGTTCTATTTAAACCACAGTACTTTTCAGTGATGTTTTTGCAGTGCCTGAAAGACAATGTCTTGATGCACATGTAGCTCTGTCATTAATCTGAGGTGCTGTTTTCAGGGTCAAGACTGTTCCTTTATTTCTCTGTAGATCTTCCCAGAGATTATAGGTTCTTCTTTTTCCCTTTGATATTTTGCATCCTTACCGAAAGTTCCCTCTTGGTTTCCCCTCCTGAATCTTTGCATACATCTTGTCATATAATTTCAGCCTTTCTTCTATTGCTCTTTCTTTCCTTTCTTCACTTTTACTTCCTCTGTTGTCTGTCTAATGATTGCTGTTACCTAACTCCTAGAGTTTCCTATGAATTAGTTGCATCACACACTTTCACTCTAAAACATAAAAAGCTGTAGATCTTTTAAGCGGGCACAGTGGGATGAGATTCTGGAAAGAGTGTATCAAATTGAGAAGACAGAAAAGGAGGAGAATTGAGCATTTCTCCATCCTTTGAAGTGAAAGGTCTTGCACCTGGGTTACAATAACTCTCCACTGTCACTACGAGCTGGAGGATGTAAAGACAGCACACAGTCCTGCTGAAGAGGACTTGGGGGTAGAGGTGGGTGGCAGCTGGACGTGAGCCAGCAGTGTGCCCTTGCAGCCTAGAAAGCCAGCTGTATCCTGGGCTGTTCCAAAAGAAGTGTGGTCACCGAAGCAAGAGAGTGATCCTGCCCCTCTGCTCTGATGAGACCTCACCTGGAGTACTGGATCCAAATGTGCAGTCCTTAGTACAGGTGAGACATGGACCAGTTGGAATACATCCAGGGGAGGGCCACAAGAAATGATCCAAGAGATGGATCTCCTCCTCTACAAGAACAGGCTGAATCTATTCAGCACAAAGAAGAGAAGGCTCTGAAGAGACCAGGTAGCAGCCTTTCAGTATCAAATGGGAGACTGTAAGAAAGAAGGGGACAGGCTCTTCATCAGGATGTGCGGTGACAGGACAAGGAGAACTGGTTTCAAATGAAAAGGGGAGATTCAGACTGGATATAAAGAAGTTATTTATGATAAGACTGATAAGACACTGGTGTAAGTTGCCCAGAGAGGTGGTGGATGCTCTGTCGTCCCTGGAGACATTCAAGGTCAGGCTGAATGGGGCTCTGAGAACGTGATCTAGCTGTAGATTATCTTAAAGGATCTCTTCCAACTCATAGGATTCTGTGATTCTACAGATTCGTATTGGGTTATCCATTTGTTTCATTGAATCTTCTGTTTCAGACCAGACTTGAAAAAATAAACTTCTTAGTTGCTTTGGTACTAGATGTGACTGTGTCACAGAAAGAGCATCTTTAATGTGACTTCTGTTTTTCTCTTCTAAAACAGGTGGAACGGGAGTCCTGTGGTGGCTCTATGCTAAAGAACGAATGTCTGCCAGTGCTGTTGAGACTCAAATAGCCAAAGAAAATCGTCAGGCTCTCCTGATCTATGCCATTTCAGCTACTGTCTTCACAGTATGTTTTTCTAGTTATCAAATGATTTTCTTGTCTGACCTTTCTGTTTGTTTATTCAGGTGTGAGGTTTATATCTCGCAAGCTTTAAATGTTTATTTCTACTACAAGTTCTGCTGCAATGTCTTTTTTTCCTTCTTAGCATTGTTCTGTAATATGTTCTTGTATCAGGAGGGAGCTCTTAACTCTGCATCTGTTCTGTTGTACTCTAAGATGTCCACAGAGACCTCCCATGAATATGAACCTCCCAGTCCAGTTTCACTTACAGGATTTTTGTTAGGCTCCCAGTTCAGAGGTACTTTGCAATTTCAGTTTATTTAAAAGTCTGCTCATATTTCTGAAATCACTTGTTCCCAAATTTCTTCCACTTACACAAGGATCTTTTTGAAAGTGCTGGCACAAGCTGCCCAGTGAAGTTGTGGATGTCCCATCCCTTGAGGTACTCAAAGCCACCAGGTTGGATGGGGCCCTGATCAATATTATCTAGTGCCTGATTTAGTAGTTTGTAACCCTGCCTATGGAAGAGGGTTTGGAACTAGATGATCTTTAAGGTCCCTTCCAACCCAAGCCATTCTGTGATTCTGAAATATTAACACTACTAAATCAGTGTGTGTTCTCTCAGGCATGTTATTCACTCAGAATCATTGACCTCGCAACTAAAAATTGTCAATGTTTGACTAATTTACATGACAAGTCCACCATACAGTGTCCAAAAATGAATGTTAAATTGTTTTCTTTGTTAAATCTTCCAATCTTGCTAAATTCATTGCTATAACAGCGTAACTGAGGGTGAAATCTGGCATACTCTTGTAAGCCTGTAGCTGATGATGATTCCAAAGAAATAATTTGAGATTAGAATTCCCTAAATATGTAATTTGGAAAATAATTTCTCACCAAAAGAAGCTGATCCAGACTTTACATTTTGATCTTGTGCTCGCAAAATAGTACATATGTTAATTTTTCTTTGTTTAAATATCCCAACTGTGCAAAGTATTTGCTTGCTTATTTTTGAGTTCTCTAAAATGTGATTTGTAAAACTTCTTTTTCTAGGTTATCTTGCTTTTGATAATGTTAATTATGCGCAAACGAGTAGCTCTCACAATTGCCTTGTTCCATGTGGCCGGCAAGGTCTTTATTCACCTGCCACTGCTAGTCTTCCAGCCATTTTGGACATTCTTTGTGCTTATCCTCTTCTGGACATATTGGACCACAGTCCTACTCTTCCTTGGTACTACAGGTAAACAGCTCCCAGGCTTATTTTGAAAAACATACTATATTTAAGCCAGCTTTCATATGTTTTGAAGAGATGGTAATGTAAGGGCCATTGCATGCATTTGCTGTCTCCAAAACGTAAGTACACTGGAAGTGTTAGTATTTTCCAGATTATTAGTGAAATATTCTTAGATTTTTCTTCTGTTTGTACATGTTGTTCTGAGAGAAGCTAGTGTACTCTGAATTTCTGCCTGTTGTAAGAGCATAGACGAGATCTTTGTTCGTGATATGGTCTTGTCAAGAGCTCCTAGAATTAGTCAGTCTTAGAGGTTCAAGTCTTAGTTACTTCAGTAGAGAAGCCTAGCAAATGCTTTTAAAATGGAAGATGCTTGTTTTAGTTTGCAGTGAATTGTGGACAGTAAAGGCCGTAATTCATCACCAAAACTGTAGAATTTGAAAATTACTGCTAATCCAAGTGTATCAGTGTTTCAGATCATAGAGCTATTTCTGTAACGATCACTGTGTAAATTATATCAAGAATAAAACAGACAAATCAAGAATGAAAATATAATAAAATTATTTTTATTGGTACTTGGTAGGTCTGGTTGGTCTTGCAAGTTTTCACTGTGTGGCTAAATGAAAAAATAATAATGTTGTAGCATTTTGAATATTATGCATATTATCAATGTTAGTGTATTTTTTCAACTGCTGTTATACTGATTGTCTCAAAAGGTATGTCTTTTTTATGAACTGTTTTCCTAAATCTGACACCTAGTAGCATGAGTAGAATTTAGGGTGGCTCCTCTCCGAATGGTTACGAACAGCTAATTACTGATTCTTTCTTCTTAATTTCTAGGTAATCCTGTCCCAAATGAAGAAGGATTTGTTGAGTTTCGGATGACAGGCCCCCTGAAGTACATGTGGTGGTACCATGTAGTAGGACTCATCTGGATCAGTGAGTTTATCCTAGCCTGTCAGCAGATGACAGTAGCAGGAGCTGTTGTCACGTACTATTTCACAAGGTAAGGATAAACTTAGCTTTATGGTGAGCAGCCTAGAAACACAATTAAGAGAAATAATGAAAGAGAGAGCTTTTGGGGAGAACACTTCCTGCCTGCCTGAAAGCTGGAGGGTGGTTGAATTGTATTAACCTGTTTTATATCATGTGAAGTTTTATAATAACATGTTTTGCTGGTTATGGATGATATTCTGGTGTTTAGGATTATCTACCTTGCAACATGTGCACATTGTGAAAACATGGGTGATGGACTAGCAGAAAAGAATGCGCCTAGAAGGCTATCTTTAGTACTAATGCTATTGCTCATAAGCTCAACAGAGACTGAAAAGCTACTGGCAGCATTTTGTTGTTATTATTTTTAATTGCAAAATAATGGCCTTTAAAATGGCTTTCATTAGTCTTTCTTACTTCAGATTGCTCAGGGTATTAATGGATTCATTATTTACATGTAGATGCTCACAAAATTATGTACAAATATTAAAGTGATACTAAATATGTATGCGTTAAAACTTCTTATTTCACTGCGTGTCCTCAGCTGGGTATTAGAACATTACCCTGGCTATTCTGCATGTGTCTGCTGGCTGCTCAAGAAAGCAATAGTAATGCTTAGTAGTGCTTAAGCAGTGTTTTTTAACAATCTTCAGGCATTAGAATTTGGTTTCACAGAGATAAGACTAATTTCATAATCACAGGCTTGTCCAGATAATTTCATCCTAGCTTTAGAGTTTTGTCTTTAGTGTTTGAAGGCTTTTCTGAAGTTAAGGGTGCCAAAATGTACACAAAATAAGCGAAGATTTTCTTGTTTAAGCCATTTAGGATCCACTTTTTTTTCCTGGAAACCAAACCAACAACAGAAAACAAACAAACAAACAAAAAAAACAAAAAAAAAACAACCTGATATCAGATGTGTTATTAGTATTTCATGAGAAAAAAAATGGTATTTCAACAATCTGAAGTACTGTGTTTTGGTATGTGGAGCAGAACTGTTGCAGTATTTTTGTTAAGGAAAAGAATCAACGATTCTAATTATCTGTTTATCACTTTTGTAAAAGTAAAATAAAAAAATGCACATCATTATTCAGGAATGAACCTTCACATTTTCTTGGCCTTTTCAAGACAGTATAATGCAGGTTCTTTGGCTAAAGAGCAGCATGAATAAAGGGTGTTGACACAGTATTTAGCAGTATTGATTTAATTAAGCAAGCTTTTCATGTGAAGGATATGATTAAGAAAAACTGTAAGGGATATCCATCAACCCTACTTTATTCTTGTGATATGCTATGAAAAGTCTAATTTTTATTTTAACGAGTTTTCAAATAATCATACAGATATTGTTTGAAGTGCATAATCACAAATGTTTAGTTTGTCTTTTTTTAGTTGTGACTGTTACCTGAACTACATTTGATTTCTTATCTGCCCTAGTCTCTTTAAAATATATCAAATGTAAGGCAAGTAAATTAATTTACTGTGGTGACAGAGACTATACTTATTAATGATGATGTCCTCCAGTATACCAGTGAAATACATCTGAGAAGTTGTTATCGGACGCTGCAGGGTTGTAAAAAGTAAAGAACTATGAATGTACAGAGTAAAATTTTGCACTGATGCAGGTTGACAATGCTTGTGTTTCATTTCCTTTGTTGATTTATGTATTTGCCATCACCTGAAAGTGTATGATTTTACTTTCAAGTGAAACTGTCATTCCTTAATAGGAATTTTATTCCATACTATTAGTCTTTCTTGAATTTTGAAGTATAATTCTAAATTGAAAAATGACTTGGTATTAAGTAAAGGGCATGAAGATATTTCCACAGCAAATATATGTGGAAGAATGTTTTAGATATGTTTGCTATTCATTCACCTTAGCAGGAAAGAGTTCTTGCAACTCGGGCAACAGTAGATCTCAACATCGTATGTGATAGTCATCATTCAGTTAGATTTACTTGACAAGGAGGTAGTGATCTGGTTGCCTGCGTGTAGGGTTCAGGCCTTAAATTTCATGTGATTGTGTCCAAAGAGGGATTTGACTTCCCTCACCTGAGCTCTAAACGTTATTTGGGAGAAAATACAGGGAAAACCTGTTTAGTTATTAACGTTTCATGGTGAAGTTGCACAGAAGTTATTTTCATATGATGAAGACTATTTCTTGACCTTTTTGAATGAAGCTTGCATGAAAATAGTTTTCTCTTGAGATGGGAACTCTTTGTTTTTTTAATACGTGGTTACTTGAGGATATGATAGGTAAATTAGACATCCGAAATTGTGACTTGCACAAACTATCCGTGTTTTATGTGGAGTGAACAATATACAGTCACAACTAGAAGGTGGGTAGGAAATTCCTTTTGCAGCCAGCCTGTTGGGAATTGGTAGCAGTTCTGTAGGATGACATTAAATGCATGTTGATTATTCTATGTCGTTCTTTTTCTCTTTTCAACAGGGAGAAAAGGAATCTGCCATTTGCTCCTATCCTGGCGTCTGTTAACCGCCTTGTCTGTTACCATCTAGGAACAGTTGCAAAGGGGTCTTTCATTATCACATTAGTGAAGATACCACGAATGATTCTTATGTATATTCATACACAACTCAAAGGAAAAGTAAGAGAAATAGATTCCATATCCTTTCTGAAACTCAAAGCCAGATGTGTTTGCAGATAATTTAGTTAAACTTACTGTGGAGGCTGAAAGTGTAATTTTGAAATATTTGGTCTTTCAAGGACCATAAGACTGAGAGTAACTGCTTGAGTTAACAAGTTAATTATGAGTTACTTGAAACATGAAGTAATATTATTTTCTTAAGATCTGCTCTTTTTACTGTCTTTTTACTTTGCTTACCTACATTCTGTGCTTTCCTAGGAAAATGCTTGTGCTCGCTGTATGCTTAAAGCCTGCATCTGCTGTCTTTGGTGTCTAGAAAAGTGCCTGACCTATTTAAATCAGGTAAGATTTTCAGTATTCAAGTTTTATGTAAAGTAATGATGATTTATATGATTCGTAGAATGTAATATTAGGCTGACACATAATGTGTTGTACTTTGAAGCTGAACTGGACAATGGTACTCAAATCTTGTCTTTGTTACTGAAATTAAAATACAAGGATTACATTAGTCTTTGTTTACATTGCAAAGGTGAAAGCCAGTATTGATCTTTGCAAAGTTTGTATATCTTTACATTAGATCAGATGGATTTATTTAGGGGTTGGAGGTGACCTTCTCTAAGTCCTCTGTAAGGCTACATCTGATTTTAAAAATGTTTGCTATGACAAGGGACTGAACCTTTTTTGGGTTTAATATTTCATGTTTACACGATTGAAAAGCATTCAATTTTCCCCATTTTCCCAATTTTTTACTCCTTCTCCTATTCCCCTTTTGAAAGATCTTTCATTAAGTAAATCTTCTCTATCTTCTTCACAGAATGCATACACAGCCACAGCTATCAACAGCACCAACTTCTGCACCTCAGCAAAGGATGCCTTTGTTATTCTAGTGGAGAATGCTTTGCGAGTGGCTGCCATAAACACTGTTGGGGATTTTATGTTGTTCCTTGGAAAGGTATGTCTTGGCAAGCTTTCCTTAGCATTGACTTGTACCTCAGATAGAAAGTGTTTTAAAATTCCTTTTTTTTTACTTCTCACTTTATTGCATCTACACCATGTACAGAATGAGCTGTCCTAAATTAGGGTAGGTAAGCAGATGATATGCTTAGGTCAAGTAGAAATGGCTGAATTATGAGCTTTTGCATGAATACATTTTTAGGGAGTCAGGCGAAGTGTGGCCAGAAATTCTGAGGGTGTGTGTGTTTTTGTAGTTAGAAATGTAAAATCTTAAGGAAATGAGGCATTTCTTCTGAATTCTGCTCTTGTGGTTTTTTTGAAAGTTGGCACTTTGTCGATCGCCATTTTTGACAAAATTGCACTGGAAGGCAGTATGGGAGTATGCAATTAAGAACTGTTCGTTTAAGCAACAAAGTTACTTATACTCTGAGAAATGAAGTAGACTAGAATAATTCCTGTGATCAGTCAGCCTTTTGTCTCTCTAGGAACTCCCCTGTACTTGGTGCTTGTCAGACCGTACCTGAAGTAGCATGTTTAGTTTTGGGTCCCCCTATACAAGAGGGGCATTGAGGCTCTGAAGCATGTCCAGAGAAGAGCAATGAAGTGTCTGAAGGCCATGTCTCAGGAGAATTAGTTGAGGGAACTGGGATTGTTTAGATTGGAGAAGAGGAGGCTTCTGGGAGACATTAATGCTCTGTGCAGTGATTTGAAAGGAGATTGTAGAGAGGTGGAAGTCAGCTTCTTCACCCAGATAACAGAATCCTGATGAGAAGGAATGGCCTTCAGTTTTGCCATGGAAGATGCAGGTTGAGTATTATGAAAAACTTCTCAGAAAGAATGGGGAGGTGTTTGAACACGCTGCATAGGGAGGTATTGGAGTCACCTTCTCTTGAGGTATTCAAGACCATGTAGGTGTGGCACTAATGAACATGATTTAGTGTGTGTAATGGTGATGGGTTGATGGTTGGACTTGATGTGGGACATATTTTCCAACCTGAACGATTTTGTGATAGAGATCTGTAATCCAGTAAATTACTAGCTTTCTGAGGTTTTAATTACTGATGGTGTTATAGCAAATAATTGCCATTATTTACTAGAATTTGATACTTGTCCACTTAAATCACCTGACATTTTCCCACTAGTTGAACTGTTTTCCTTATTACAATTCTTCTTCTTCTGTTAAATCAGACTTCAGCGCACTGAGCTTTAATCCAGTAACTAAATCAATGAGATGTGTGGAGAAGTAAATATATAATGAAAATATAAATGCTCTAGGGATCGTAAAATACATAATGCAGTTTTGTGGAGGAGTCTGAAATGTGTTAGAGAACATCTCCTGTAAAGGATCTCTTTTAAGATTATTAGAGAAATACACCAGTAACAGAAATGTTAAAATGAACGGTGCAGTTTGTTAAAAATAGTATCAACTGAACAGTGCTAGGTTTCCACTCCATCTCCTCTACAATCCAGCCCTGTGTTTTCATGATACAGTTAAGCTGACTTATTCTTCAGTTTGAGTTTCAGCTGCAGTTCGTAATAAAAGGTTCATAAATGTTAAAAATGTTGAGTATCCACAACAGTTGTTATTCTGAAAGATGAAGCTGATATCTAAGGAAATACCTCCGTAGTTTTACAGAAACATATGATGCACATTTTGTACAGTAAAACCATTCTAATCTGACCTATAGTCAAATCTGATCATTTCCAATTCTGATCTCTTTTCTCTGTATGGAGTCAAGTCAGTAAAGACAAACTTGGAAGATGTTTTGGCTAAGTTAATTCCTACAGCAAAGTAAAAACCATGCTATTGCCCCCAGCTTCACTCCCCCCCCCAAGACAAACAAACCAAAACCAGGCACAGTTGCACCTATGTTGTTCTGTAACATCTGGTTCTGTCTTTTATTAATAATTGTAAGAGTAATGTTCTTTTGTTGTAAGAATGTTCTGTAATACTAGAACTATTACCAGTTGGATATAAATGTAATTGGACCTGAAAAATACCTTGTGTATTGAAGGATGTGTTTGAAACTATTTTGATTTTCATTTGCTGGGCTAACAAATAAAACGTCATTTCTATTCAGAGAGATGGGGAGTCAGTGGTCTAAAGATGCTATCATTGCTAGCATCTGCAACCTCTAGTTATGGGTTTGGCAAAGCAAAGAAAGCGTAACTTGAACTATGACAATAGTAATGATAAAAGCCTTTTGATGATTTATGTTTTCCACTTCAGGTCCTGATTGTCTGCAGTACAGGTTTGGCCGGGATTATGTTGCTGAATTATCAACGAGATTACACTACCTGGGTGCTGCCTCTCATAATTGTCTGCCTCTTTGCGTTCCTGGTTGCTCACTGCTTCCTTTCCATTTATGAAATGGTTGTTGATGTCCTTTTCTTGTGTTTTGCCATCGATACAAAATACAATGATGGAAGCCCTGGGAGGGAATTCTACATGGACAAAGTTCTCATGGTAAGTTCACATAGCTCTCTGAGTCAAAGCATATAGTTCCATAAGGTGGATGTCTTGAGAGTGCAATGAATACACTAGCTGGGTATAATTTATTTTTTTTTTTTTAATTTAGATTACCTCACTGTCTTATTCATGACTTGATCAGCCAGGAGTGCTGTGATAAGCATTAGATAAGTAGTAAGGCCTGCAACTGATTTGCAGTTATCAATGCTGACTTAAACTTGCCATCAGCTAGATGAGCAGCCCTCATACAGAATCATACCTTTGGGTATCATTTCTTGTAAATGATGCAGTGCAGAAGAGAAGGCAGCAAAACAGTCTGGAAAGATTTGCTAGTTGTTCTTTCCTAAAAAGGACCTCCCTTGTGACGTGGAAGAAAATAAACATCAGAATATTCTACCTCATATACAGTTAGTGACCACATTGAAGTTTTTCTTTTCAAATGGACAGCAACTTGAAATATGTCTTGCATAAAAGCTACTGGTTTTATGTTTTGTGCAGGAGCCTAGATTCTATGTCAAGACCCTTTGCGCAGTTCAGTTTTTGTTGTTCTGTCTTATTCCCTGTTCAGTCTACCTGGAGAATGAGACACAAAAATTCTGCCTCTCAAATTGTTCAGTTTGTTGATGAGTAGATGATTTATTTCTTGATAATGTTTTACCACTTTAAGTGGCCCTTTTCACCCCCAGATGTAGGCTGACACTTGTGGTTGAGGATGAGGATCACTTGAGGATGACACTTGTGATTTCTTAGTGTAATTTTTTTTTCTGACTAACTTTTTGGAAAGTTGTGCCAAGAATTTAACATTAATTGCTGGTAAAACACTACAGAATTTAGGGTATATGGTAAAAGGGAGCGCTATCTGATGACTTGCACTTTAGTACAGAGCAGTAAAATGCAGCATGCTGTCTAAGAAGACAGCGAAGATCAATCACAAAAACATTGCAGTTTTCGCTAGTCAGCAGTCGGTATCACAAAGTGCTAGTAGTGAAAGTTTACTGAAATTTGATACTGAGTGCTTGCCTTTAAGAGGAGAAAATAGATGAAAAGCACCTCAGTTCATCTTTGAGTAAGTAGTTTTGATTGGGGAAAATTTAAAGAATGTGCTTTCAGGGAAGTCAGGAAAATAAACAAGACTTCGCAAGTAATTATCTCCAAGTCCGTCTCTTTAATGGTGTTCTGCCATTGCACTTAATTCTTAGGACAGGATTTAGTAACTGCAATTTAGTTTTGTGACAATTGCCCTCCTACCTTCCTTCCCCAAAAAAAGGGGAACTTTGTGGACATTACAGAAGTTGTTATGGCACCCCATGACACATGATTGTTTCTTCAGAATTTGATGGTGGAGAACCGTGTGGTGGCTCTTTTGATACTTTATGAACAATTTTACTCCAAAGAAGTGGAAGAAGGAAGTTGCACTGACTTTCTGAGCAGTTACATCTCTGAAGTTTTGTATTTAGATTAGATATTTGAAGTCTGCTCTGAGAAAGCACTTTTCACGTTACTGCTGTTTTTCAGGAATTTGTGGAGAATAGTAGGAAATCTATGAGAGAAGCTGGCCGGGGAGGTGGAGCTGAGGGCAGAGAGCTAAAACCAATGGTAGGTGCAGATGAGGAGGTGGCCATCCTCCAAGAGTTTCACTTTTACTTCCTCTCCCTCTTTGTCTTTACTGACTGCACTTCTTCAGGAGAAGTTTTTGTTCTCTGTATCACTCAAGACGTTCTGCTTTTTCTGTTTGTGAGCTTGCCTATCACCTGGATGGCAGAGTTTTTGTCACAGCTGAGACCATCTCCTGTAAAAGTAAGATGAAAGGAACTGTGTCATATGAAACATGCAGTATTGTTTCATCAGGCTTAATAGTGAATGCTGTGAGGTATACAGATAATCTTAACTTCTGAGAATTTTCAAAATAATATGACTCTGGAATTTGTTTGACTATTCTGACTTCAATCTGCTTTCCATTCTTGAAATAAGCTATTTTTGTTTTACAAACACTGTAAAAGCCTGAGGAATACTACTGAGCACATCCATTGTTGCAAAGTAGAACCAGGCATTTAAAGCTGTCACCAAATTATTTTATAGAGTGCCAAGGGATTGTGTACAGTAATTCCTTTCAACCTGCTCAAATGACATTTCTCCCAGTTGTTTGTTTTTATTGCCAACTACTTATGTTGCTTGTCTCTTTGTGTGCTCTTTCCATCTCACACTGTCAAATATGCAGACAGTGAACAGTGCATCATCTATGCTTCCGCAGCCTGTCTTACTTATGATGTGCCTATTAGGAAGGCATTGCATGTCTCAGTAGCCTGGAATAAGGAACAGCCTTACATGGTACAAGTAACAGATAGGTGGATCAGTTTGGAAGGTGGAGAACTGAGAGCATACGATGGAAAGCCAGGCTGGGCAAGGTATGACTTGTCATCATGCAGTATGACTTTGTGAAATACAGTCATCTTCAATCATTAATTTCTCAGAGGGGCCTAACTCAGTTCTTCACCAAGTGGACAGTCTGTTAATCTAATGGGATCCGAATAGGTGTATGCTAATAACTAGAATTTTTTTAGTTATATACCTGAGGCCATGTTGCATGAGCACTTTCTGACCTAGCTGGAATGAGTTCCTGCTGTAGAATTGATAGATGTGTAGCTTTGCGTGTTTTGCTATTTCATTATAGCATACCAGTTTCTAGATTTGCTTACGCCTAAATGCTTCTGTGTCTGTACATTTTAAAAACAAATTCTGTGCTCGTTTACTGTTTCCTTCAGGGAGTAATTCTAGCTGTTCAGACACTTACGTTAGGATTTCCAAAGTGATCTAACAATGAAGCTGCCATTAAAATGATTGAAAATTGGGTTTGCAGACCCTCTAGTCGCATTTACAAATATTATCCTTCAAAAATTTTATGTTCATGTGAATCAGTAGTTTGAATTAGAGATTAAGTGGTTTTCTGCTTATGCTTTCCTCACTGCTTGCACAGACCAGTACTCTGACCTGTACTTGACACCTAAAGCTTCATTATGAAAGCTTATATCCATTCCCCTCGTAAAAAGGCAAAGGAAGTACTGGCAAGTCAAGCATCTTTTTTGTTCTAGTAGAAACATGACTCTAGGCAACTGAGCCTGGCAGTGATCAGAACTGCTGTAGAAGATGCTGAGCTCTTGAGTGTCATGTGCTGAATTACTCCCATTTCTGGTGCTCATTTGATAGTCTTGTTTGGAATGGATGGGGCCTTGTTTTCTCAAGAGGTATCCATGTTGGGGTGTTAAACCCAGATGAATAAGATAAATATTAAGTCCCGACTTCCTGACAAGGGCTGTGCACAGCATAGGTAGTGGCAGTTATTACATCTGGGAAGTCTCTGATACCTTGCACCAAAGCACCGATAAAGGTTTCAGGTATGTCGGATTAGGATCATTAATAGGTCTGTTCTGTAACTCTAGCACCTGTAGCCCCAAAATTGGATGTTTCAAAATCAGGTTAATTTTTCTTCAAAACAAACAAAAAAAATTCTAACAAATAATCTTTAGTATTTTGCCTCAGTTTTCTCGAAATGGTTACTTTCTAGGTGTGACAGTTCTAAAAGTGGAGCACCCTAAAGGCGTTTGTATTTTAGATAGATAGATACCAGAGGTGAGGAAACATTTAGAACATTCGGTCTCCAAAGAGACTGCCAGGAAAACCTTTCTCTACTTTCTTTGTGGTTTCCAGTGACCCTTTTGACTCAGTTTCTCCTTGACCTATGGCATTTGTCTAAGACTATACTGTATGACTTTGTTTTCTAGGCCTCTGGAGCAAGTTCATCTTGAAACTAGCCAGCCATATTGGAACCCATTGACATTCCAAAACAATATATATATACATATATATATATATAAATATATATATATATATATAAATAATCAGCCAAAATCAGAGAAAAGGAACAGGGATTTAATACTTTTTTTAACAATTATTTTTGTGAAACATGTACTCTTTTCATACGGGTGGCTTTTACAAGCAGCTTTATCATTGTTCCATTTTTTAAAATTTATTCATTGTAGTCACAGAAATGTTGATTCTTATCGGCTTGATATTTCACAATCTGGAGGAGGAATCATTGTAAAGATAATTTTAATGATGATTGGGTTTCGAGACAGATTTCCAATGACATGGCTAATCTGCTGAGAGTTTTTTGTTTAGTTTGTGTAAATCTGCATTAAAGTTAGGACAGCTACACATAAGCAAAATCTTCAAATCAAGAACAGTATTGAATTTAGCTTTCTAAAAGGTAGTTTTAGTGTGAGTTTCTTCAGTTCTAACTGGTTTGTAAGCAGTCATTTTATTCTACGGCCCTGGCAGGGCCCAATTTTGTTTATCAGTATCAGATATCACAATAACCGACTCCTCAGGTATTCACATGTGTGGGAGCCCTTGCATCTCCTATTCAGCAGAAACTAGAAAATGGGGAATAATGATTTTTATATGCAATTTACTTCATGTTTTACCCTACTTACCCTCTTACCAATTCCTCCCCCCCCACCCTGCCCCAGATTCAGTAGCCTCCTTCAAACGTCAACAGTGCTCCTTTAGGGACATAGATTCTCCATATGAGCAATTCAAAGAACAGGTTGTTAAAGCTCAGTCTTAGTCATACTCATGATTAATTCATGACTTGATGTAAACATGCTGAGGATGGAAGGAGAAATGAACTGTCATACTGTACAAACAAGTACTCTGTAGTTCATTTCATTTGATGTCAGAGAGGTTTGGGATGTGTAAGGGACCGTTCCTTGCCTATTGTTTCACCCATATTTCTATGTACTGTAGCAGGTGGTTGAAACAGGAAAGGGCAGAGGTACGTTTCTTTGGAAGTGTAACTGCCTGGGATAGTTATTTGAAGTCATCGAATAATGATAAGAGAACGTGTTTTGTTTTGTTTTTATTTAAAAAAAAGAAAAAAAAAGAAAAAGCAGTAGTAGTATGGTTCTGAGATAATTGCATTTCTTTCAGTCTGGAAGTTCACCAGATATGAATGCTAATATTTTGTTCAGCCTGATGTGCTGGTGAATGGTTAAAAGTGTATTTGCTAAGAATTCATGATCTGTCAATGCTATATAGTCCTTTTGTTACAATTTTTTTAAGAAAACTATTTTTGTTAATGTAAAGTTAATACTGCAGAGCAGAATTTTTAAACTTATTGCACTAAATATAAGCTCTGTACAAATAAATAATGCCTCAATGGTTTGATCACTCCATTCAAGAAAACCTTTTGAAAGAGAAAAGCCCTTCTGTGGAAGCTTTGCAATGGAGTGAAGAGGTATGTCTAGTTAAAGAAACTCAGTTGTACTTATGGTTTAAAGAGTAAGCTGTTCTCTGTGCTTCCTCTCAGAGGATCAGACATCTAAAAAATAGAGTGTCATGTAACTAATCAGTGCTCTTACCTTTTGGCAATAGTGAAATGTTTCACCTTTGCTTCTAGAAATCATTTGATACTTACACTTGTTTAGTTTTCTTTCAGTAAACCTATTAAAAAGACTTACTGTTTCCATATCACAGAAAGCAAACTGTATGAAAAGAAAATCAAAATATGTTTAGAGGTGGTAACTGCTGGGGAGATGGGAGGACAGAATTAACCAGTCTTGAAAGCACTAGACACTTATTTAACCAAACCACATCAGCTCCTCTGACATCAGGAGGGCTCTCTAAAGTAGTGAAGTTGTGAGATACATTTGTGTGTATGTGTGTGTTAATTGAACTAGAACTTCAGCCTAGGGTTCAGACTAGAGCACTGACTGGTGAGGCCTCTCAATGTGAGCTAGAAGTCAGGCTATCTAAAAGAAGCCCTGTAACAGCCTTAAGCTTGTGGAGAGGAAGCATTCCTGCTGTTAAAGCTGGTTGCTAAAGCTGCAATTGCACTGAACACTGTTGTCTGTGTAGATCAGTGGGGTTTAGCAACAGAAATTCGAAAACTGGCTCATGTGAATCCTAGAAACTGGATTCCAAGGCTAAGAGACTTCTCACATACCCAGTTGCTTCCAGAGAACTGTAATTTCCGTCTTGTTGGAAATTATTGGAGGTGCTTTGATCAAAGCCTTGGATTCTGCTCATTTTTACAACAATTATCTGCCGTCACAAGTTCTGCAAGTTTGTGCTCTCTGCTCACTGGAAGTGGGAGCTTTTCTCTGCGATCGCAACTAGAACTGCAATTGGAAACAAATTTTGTATTTTTGTATGACTTGACTGTGCACCATTTTTATAGCAGTTTATCCTGTTTTAAGAACAAATTTGATTTATTTACATGGTGTTTAAGAGATACAGGCAACACTTTTCTATGGGTAGCTGTAAAGTTTAAGTGACAAACCTATATCATTACAGAGTTCTTAATAAAATCATATGCACCATTCTTGTGTGTATCTGGCACGCTGAGCTTTTCAGTCATGCCAAACTGCATTCCATCAACATGCAGGCTTTCCAGTGGCCCTTCAAAGCTTTTAAATGTTCTTTAAGGAGAATTGCAACCAGACTGTAAGCTATCCTCTTCCAGCGTGGTCTTGTGCAAGGAGATAAATAGAAGACTGGAGTCTAAAAAAACTTTTCAGGACAAGCCTAAACTCTGCTTTCCTCCCCCTTTAAGGGAGTGGTGGAGAACACTTGAAATGTAAATCCGTAGTTGTAGTAAAGGTGCTGGAGACTTCCAATTAAGATGGATTAAATACTCGTTTTGCCATCAGTATATGGACTGCCTTGTGGAAAGCAGTCTGCGCCACTTAGAGTGTGGTGCACTGTGAATAAATCTGCAGGAGGAGGAGATACAGAAATAATCTGCTTGGAAAGCCCGCTGAACCAAGCAGTGCTTGAGGACTGGTGATATGAGCCAGTGCAGTTACTGGTTCCCAGCATTTGGTTTCTGCAGGCAGTCTGGCACATAGCCTCTAATCAGCTAGGCTCCAAAGGAAAAAAGCTTGCTGTTCTTTTAATTGTTTAATTATTTTCATTTTGTTATCCTCTGTCTTATTTGGAGGCTGAGCAACGTGTTATTGTTGCTTTGGCAGAGGTTTGAACTAGATGAGGTTCTTTCCAACCCTTTGATTCTTTCAACCCTAAAGAATCCTAGTTGTTCTTTTAGCTCTCATTTCTGTATTGCTCTTTCAGTGAAGGAGTACCAAGCGGCTAAGTGTCAGCTCCCCCTGTCCCACCAAACTTAGCCTGTGCCTTCTCACCTTCCCAAGGCAATGATATCACCTGGACTGAGTGGGAGGGGGAGTAGGTGCAGAGCTGAAATTCTGAGATTCTTTTTGTGTGTGCGATACCACTCCATCACTGTGCTTGCTGTGATAAGGAGTGAAATGCATTACTTTAACAATTCCAGAGCTGCTTTGCAGCTAAAGTCAGCACATGTATGGCCAATTTAGAACTGTATCTTCAGCCTTCCATGAGCTTGTGTTTGTACTCCCACCTGCCAAAAACAAGATTCGGTTTTACGTGTGGCCTTAGCTTGGTGTAGTAAGACAAGGATGTTCAGTATAAGGAAGCATGTCCTAGAATGGTGGAAAACCATCAAGTGGAAGACCAAGTCCATACTGTTGTGGGGTTTACCCTGCCTGCCAGGTAAGCCCCTGCTCCTTTTGTGCCTTCCTTTCCAGGAAGACTGGGGAAGAATCAGAATATGGGTTGTGGTAAAGACAGCTCATTAAATAATGGGAAAAAATCAAAGGGGAGAAAAAACATCATCAACCAAGTGTTGCAAAGGCAATCGCTCGCTCACCACGTCCCACCAGCAGACTGATGCCCAGTCAATCTCTGAATAATGGCTGCTTTGGAAGACTCTCTCCCTCCCACTGTTTTTTTGTGTTTTTTTTTTTTTTTTTAAATTTGAGTGTAATATTCCATGGCACAGAGTATTTTTTGTGTAGTCTGGGCCAGCTTTCCTAGCTGTGTCCCCTCTCAGCCCTTGCCCACCCCCAGCCTTCTCTGCAGGAAGGGAGAGACAGAGAAGGCCATGACCCTATGGGAGCACCGCTCAGCAGTGGGTTTGTACACTGTGTGCTACCAGCGCTGCTCTGATCACAGATCTAAAACAGTACCATATGGGCTCCTGTAAAGAAAATTATCTCTGTTCCAGCCAAGCCCAGCCCCCTGGTCCACTTACCTAAATGTTAACCCAAGACTCACTTCCCACATTTCTGTACAGCACCTTCTCAGGGTGGTTACTTCTTTCTGAAAGGGCTTTTTTCAGAGTAGGCGATGAGTCTGCTCCGCAGTGCTCCCTTTAGGGAGGGAGCAGGATATGCTGACTCTTACTCTTTCAGCACAAAATGGGGATGTAAAGCAGAAATGAGCCCTGTCTGTATCAGCGTCCTGGCAACTGAGCAGCCTGCGCTGAAGACAACATATTTAATGTGCCCTCAGGGCCTGCACTTTAGTGGTTTGCTCTGAGTAGTTACGATGTATTCTATGAATGTATGTTACAGAGTCAGAATAAATGCATGTAGCAGACATATACTCGTCATCACCATCCAGTGATCATTTGGTTCTGAATGCATATTACATGATGTACTGGACATCGCACAGTCATTTTAAGGAACGTTAGAGTTTAAAAGTAGATACCTAACGGTGCGCATCCCAGTTTTGTAAATCATGGCTTTGCCTGTGCAGATACTGTTTACTGAATCTCAAGCCCGTTGTTTCTTGAACAGCTTGTGTGTCACATTGTCACTACTGAAGTTCTGTTTCATCTTTGTGAAAAAATATAGCTCCTTCCCAAAGGAGGAAACTCCTTCCCCTCCATGGAAACAAATACTGTTTCACGGAACAAAACCCAACAGACTTACGTGAAGCATTTCTTGCGCTCGGCTTTTTGTTGGGACAATGGAAGTTTACTCCAAATATCAAATTTTTTCAGTGCTCTTCCAACTGTTTTCACCTCTGCTGTTAATTCCATCACATTACAAGAGAGATAATGGAGATTAGTAACTTTATATTTCTTGTGCTCTGTAGCAAATACTGTTCTCAAGATTATTATTTTTTTTTTTTTGATATTTAGAGAGATGAGAGAAGATACGAGTTTTATCTCTTGTGATGTGGGTCATACACAGAAGGCAAAATTTCTGGTCTGGGATGGAACTGCGAGGTATCTTGCAGTGTTTGCAAGCTGATGCAACCAAGCCAAAGCTCTTTAGGGACATTAGGATTATGAGAATATTTCCAGGGATAATAGGTAGCATGAATACATCTAAAATATCCATTGGGAGGCTAAAATACTTGGCATTCATTTGAGAGAAATCAGCTAAACCAGAACTACAGAAAAGTAAGAAACTCCATCACATTCTACTCCCTTGTCTCACTGAGGCCATCACGTGATATGTGAATATACTGAAGCACAATTTGGTGTTTTAAGCATTTGGTAATTATCTGGAAAATTGTAGGGCTCCCTCCAGAATCAAAGGTGCAAGAATTTTGAGCTAAAGTAATAGGTAACTGCAGAATTAGCCTGAAGTTCCAGAGACACCTCTGGCACCTCCGAAGTACTACGGTAGCAGTGGTGGTCACCACTCCTGAAGTGTGCCACCTCTCCCCTCTTGCTTCACTGAAATATGGGCAGGTAACGACCACTTCAGAAAGGTCTAGTGTGATTGTGAAGCTGAAGACTCCTGAAATCCAGTGAAAGCTGAGCACTGACTGGAGTCCCTGTGAAACTCATGATTTTTATCTTTAAAATAAGTACTGTGTGTGCTCCGGTGTTGGTACTGGATGGATCCGTCCCTGCTCAAGCTGTAGAGTGTCTCCTTAGAAAAACAGCTGTGGGGTCATCTGTGTGGAGGGGGAGAGGAGGAAGAACACAACAAAAGTTTGTTTTGTTTCTGATATAGGCCAGGGAGCAAATGCCGGAGGCCAGTGGAGCCGTGGAGAGCAGAGTTTCACAGGTAGAAAATAGTTCACAGAATCTTCATAGTAAAGAAAATTCACGTTCCATTTCACAGACATCTCACAGCAATGTCCCCTGTGCCCTGCTTTTATTTTGCTCTTCAGAGCAAGAAAAGTACAGTCTTACGGAAAGGAATTATTTTTATACTTTGGATTGTGTTGCTGGTTACAGTAACTGTGGTAAGGAAAAAGGAAAATCTTCCAAACAAATGTTAAAGGCTTGACAGTACTCAAAAAAATTCTTGTGTTGTCATAGCCCATCAAAGCTTCATGTAAAAGAGTTTTTCATCCTCTTTCACTCACAGTTCTAACAGGGAAGTTAAACCCCTGGACTGGTTGAATAATGTACATTCAACTAAAATAAATTAACAACTGCTCCATTTTTCCAGTGGAATGCCACCTCCTTTTGGAATGGGAAAAATAAATGTGAGACTGCTTATTGTTGTCTGAGAACTAGAAATGTTTTATACTGCAAGCTGTGAACGCAGGAAGAGAAGGGAAATATAACAGTGCTGATCTAATCTTAGATTTTCTGTGTAAACTGACATTGTGCCAGAATACTGATGCAAAACTGTATTTTAGTCTAAGAAATGTATAGATTTTTTAATGTATCAAAATAAAGTTTGTTTTTTGGTTAAATAAGAAAGTCTTTCTGTCTCTGTGGAGTGCAAGGAGCCACCTTTCCTCATAGAAATGCTGTCTGACAGCCCTGAAAGCAAGCAGAGTCTGCCCAGGTCTGTGTCTCGGCTTCTGTGCTCTGTGGCAGCCTGCCCTCTAGATGGGAAGCTGCAGCAGTGCTGTGCGTGGCTTTTTGTCTCCCTCACTTGCTCTGGTGCCAAGAAAAGCCATGCTGTACAAGCGCTCTGCTGGGCTGGGTGGGCTGAATGGGGTTTTGTAGAGCAAATGTGTTTGTGTTGTCTTTCTTCTCAAAAATCTTTTGCTCCTCAGCTTATTTCTTAGGGGTATGAATATGCCTCGTTGAATCTATGCTGCACATGCAGATGAAGTCTCCCCCGTGGCCAGGTTCCTTGGCTTCTCCACAATGCAGGCTCCTGAAGGGTCAGACCCACACTGAGCAGGTTGATGAGCCTTCACCTTCCATCGTGCACATGCAGAGTCTTTTGCTCACAGCCCTGTCAGCCTGCTAAGGCTACCTGCACCTGTTACCTGCTAATGTGCTTTGTCCTACAGAGACAATCTGGGGGAAATGAGAATGGGGAAAGGTGAAGGAAGTCCTGTTCTGTATTTTGATAGCTGTGCAAACTTTTCATCCCAGTGCTGCCCTGACTTACTTGGAGCCAGCTCCTCATTAAAAAATGTTTTATACACGTTCCCCGCTCTGTAAGCAGGGTCTCTGTTCTGCAGAGATGTTCTGAAGAGCTCAGAAAGCTACAGATGGGTGGTGAACAGAAGCAATTCATAGCCACATCTGTGTAATCTTATTAGCAGAGATGTGTGCAAATGCACGTTAATCCTC